TGTGAAATTTGTTTTCACTTATAAATAAATGAACATTTACTTGGATTTAAAATTAGTATAAAATTATATAGATCTTTCCAGGAGACTGTTCTGTATTTTAATTTTGTATTTATTCTTTTGCCAGTTGCTTTTATCACAAGCACAAGATTCACCAAGCCACAGCAGAATAAGGAGAAGCCGTGACACTCAGTTCCACCTGCTGACAAGTGCCACAAGTTTGCAAGTGAATGAAGAAACTGCATAGCTCTCTCTCTCTCTCTCTCTCTCTCTCTCTCTCTCTCTCACTATCACTCTCATTATTATGGAAAAGTAAAATAAAGCATTTACGGCCAGAAACCACAGATTTCTCACTGACTGGATTTAACTATCTCTGGTAACATGCAGTACAGAAAGCGCACTTGAGGTACCAAATGATGTGATCTGCTGGGGTCAAACAGGTCATTTAAACTGGGGACACTGGGGGCATGTCCCCACCACTTTTTGAAATGGCTGATTTTGTCCCACTACTTTTTGAAAGCATTTGCTAAAGGTTTTCTGAAAATTAGCTTGCAACAAGAAATGTTAAATAGCAAAATATAAATTATATGAGAAAGGTTTACTTGTACAATAGGAAAATATCAAATGCAATGTAAATATAGAAGAAACAGATCTGCCTTTAAAAGTAACTAAGGCTAAAAAAAAACAAGCTGCTGATTACATCACATTCAATAATATTTTTATATAATGAAGTGTCTCCGGTCACATGAATTTTGTTTCCCTTCGTATAAATTTCCACCATGAAAATGTCTCTAGAATGCAGGAAATCAAAATCCCCAGACCCCCCAATCGAATTGCCTATTTCATCAATGAATATTTCTTCTAAATAGCATTAGATAACCTTGTTGTTGTTCTCAAGACTCCAATAATTTGCTTTCTCACATTTCCTGGCCTAAGTGTTTCCACCCCTCATATGAGCCCTTAAATGTCCCCACCACTTTTCAACACACCCTTGGGACAAACTGTAATGAGCCACCAGTATCCCATTGTAAAAACATTATTTATTGCTTTCCAACCACAGTTCACTTTGGCTCATAGCTAAAGAAGGACTGCTCAACAACTGGTAACAAAGCAGATAGCGTGAATGAGTAACATTTCACTCCTGTCTGCACTCTTTCTTTTCCTCACCTCCTCTCCCGTACTGTATATAGAAGTGTAATTACAGTGCCTTCTTTTTCTTATTAGCAGATAAGACTTTCATAATGGTTCCCTGGAGAGCCTGTCCAAACTTAATTAAAGCTGGCTAAACAGTCCCCTCACTCCCCTGTCTCTCTTGCTCTCTCGCTCCCCTCCTCACCCCGGCCTCTCTCTCTATTTGTCTCTCTCCTACTCAGCAACGGCAGCTGCAGGGAGAAGGAGCCAGCCCTTCAGTGATAAGTGCTAGGATGCCCTGCACCGGCAAATGAAAGCTGGGCTTGACACAGGCTTGACTCAGACAACACTGAACAGCCATTGGGGGGTTCTTGCTGTTGTGTGTGTTAATTTAGTCGTGAATTGAATAGTGTGTGCGTCTGTGTGTGCGCGCGAGGATCTAATTCCTCTGAGCGGTGTAAGCCTTGAAATTGTGCTCTGATCTTCGGCTGCATAGCCCGCTCTTTAAATTCCCATTTGTTTGACTTACAGAGATTAGCCATTAATTACTGGCTAGAGAAATTAAGCACACACACACATACACACACAAACACAACTGCACGGAGAGTGTGCTGTATAGCTGTTAAATAGAGCTTGTTACACCAGCCCTACCGCAAAGGCCAAAGGCATGCAGAGCTGAGACAGCATCGTCTAACAGGACTCCCATACATACATATGTATGCAGACACACACACACACTCACGCACAGACACACACAGCTACTGGGGAAACTATTGGACAAAAGATGCTGTTCTGGGCGAAATCTGTCAGGTTTTAGCTGAGTATAACATCAACCTCCCGCATGAGAGCGCGGGGGATTAGCACCATTTGAGACAAGCTGACCAAAGCCAAGACAGGATGAAGAATATCACAAAAGTAAGGCACCTGAGCAAGCACAAAGGCAGGCTGTTCAGTGTTTGCACAGAGCCCATCAAAGCTTTCCAAAACACTTTATATCATGTTGAGATTCATTTCACAGTGTCCAAAGAAGTCCTTTGACCCCCTGAGAACAGAACAGAACAGAAAGAACTCTGGCAACAATAACCTTAAAGCAGCACTAATTATTTTTTTTACATCTCAACAATGGATCAAATTTCAATGTGTCATGTAAAAGGGTTTTCTTTAGTGACAAACCCACATATAATTAAAATTTGTTGTTTTGGTTTTCTGCTGGGCGGTGCGGTGGTGCAGTGGTTAGCACCGTGGCCTCACAGCTCTGCTTCCTCCCACCATCCAAAGACACGCAGGCTAGGTTAATTGGTGTCTCTAAAATTGTCCTTAGGTGTGGATGTGAGTGTGAGTGGTTGTTTGTCTATGTGTGGCCCAGCGATGGACTGGCGATCTGTCCAGGGTGTACCCCGCCTTTCGCCCAATGTAAGCTGGGATTGGCTCCAGCCCCTGTATGCAGGATAAGCGGTTGATGATGGATGGATTTCTGCAGTGCTTGAAGTGGAAAAAAGCTCACATTATTCAAATGTTGGAGTGTGTATCGGCTGGTATCAGCAAATTACTAAGCATTATGTTCTGAATGCCTATAGTGAATAAAGTAAACTAGTTAAAGATACTAGATACTACTGACGTTCAAAACTGATTTATTTACCCAAGGGGATAACATTCCAGTTATTAAAAATAATTGTAAGGTTAACGTAAACTTACTACATAACATAACAACACACTCCACAAAAAAGTTACCTTGTTACAGATCCTAATAATTCCCTTAGAAATAAATTTTCTTTGTCTAGATTATCAAGTTCCCGTTAAATTGCATTTCATAAAATAAAACAATGTATCTCAAACCTGCCTTTAAAAAGGATTGGCTGGTACACTGTAAGACATTTCAAGTTAGTTTAACCTGGAAATGCAATTTCACCTGCTGCCTTGATAATTGCAGGTTTAACGTTGATATAATTGCAGTGTTCTCATTGTCTCTACTTGCTTTTTTTAGTTGACTGAACTTTTTATAACTTGTTTCAACTTCATACTTTAAGTTAAAACAAATAATTATTTTACTTTTTCAATGCAAGAAAACTTATCTTGTCTAACCGGCATCCATGTCTGCATTATTCTGACTCACAGTTTCAAGTTCAAACAACTTAACCACATTTAAAGTACTTTCCATTTCAAGTAAAGAGGATTTAAATTCCAAGGTCGTTTCAGTTCACATGCATAAAGGGCTTTCAGACACACCACAACAACTGCACTGCTGCGCTTTGAAAGCCATTATTTTCAGTGGCTTCTACCGCACCGAGGCGGCTTGTTGCTGCATCAAAATACGCGCAACGCACCTTTTTGCAATTCACTCACTCCACAGTGGGGCTCAACCTTGATGTGGGCGGGACTAACTGGAAAATATGCAAGTCTGAAATTGGAATGGGTTTTATCCGAAGTTGCTTCATTTATTAGAAAACTATATAAAGAGCAGCCTCAGAAATGCTCTTCAGAGCAATGTTTCTGATTACAATAGGATTTTAAAAAAAAAAAGGTTTATTAGAAAACAATTGTTGACACATTTTACTCTGCTGATACTGGTACTTGTAAAAATCTGTATCGGATACTTGTTTCAACAGAGTACTCGCTCAACCCTAATCATTAGCTGATTATGTCTGTGTTTTTCACAAACTCAAAAGACGCGGTAAATAGGCAATTTTTTTCTCTTGCTCCAATCCCCGCACACCCATTTCACTTACTTTGGCAAGTTCAAGCAGCAAGACAGAAGTTTCAAATAGTCAACACAATGACTTAATGCAAGTTTAACTTTATAAAACTCAGTTGAGTTCAAAATCCAAAACTCGTCAGTGCTCTTTAAACTAAAAATAAGAAGTAAGTTGACCTGACTAAATGGGTCTGTAATGTTTTACAGTGTAGGTTTAATATATGACTCGGCCCTTTAAAATTAAGTTATGTAAGCTTGTGAATGCAAATGCTCTGTATTTGTATAGTGCCTGTCTAGTCTTTTCAACCACTCAAAGCGCTTTTACACTACATGCATTCACCATTCACACATTGAGCCTAAGTGCTCAAACAGAAACTAACATTCACACAGTGGCGGAACAGGCAATTCGGGCAATTCGGTTCTTTGCTTCATTTTGAGTACAGTAACAAGAAATAAACTAATGACAACCTTTATCTTCTCCTGAGTTATTACCTTCATTTTATTCCAAAATGAAAAAATGTAATTCTCTAAAGTGACGTATCATCATTCCTTTAGGTTACAGTCCCTGCTATAAAAAGCAGGGCTGTCTGTACTGTGATTCATGGCTGTGTCTGTTTACAAGACACTTTACAAGAATCAGTCCTCACTGCAGCCACATTTCCTCCTGCTGACTAACAGTTTGCTTGCGTTTGAGGAGTCAAGGTCACTGACAGAAGGCTGTTACAGCAGCTCAGCTTTGATTTCAGGGACAGATTCTCCAAACATGTTTTATTCATTATGCTACTGCCTCACCTTAAAAAGAATGTATTTTCCTTAATTTGCAAGTGGCTGCCAGCACAAACAACACAAATATGAATGGACATGAATTTTCAGAAGGTGGAGAACACTGGCTGCAGCAGTGTGTCTGACGGAGAGCTGAAGATCAGGCATGTATGTGTCTGCCTCCCTCTAGTGGTGTTAAGACAGCGACCTACTGTATACTGGACATGCACAGCTGTTTAATATGGCCCATATACCCTTCCATCATCTTCAACTTCTTATCCAAGCAGGGTCACGGGTGCCAATCCCAGCTGACATCGGGCAAGGGGACCATATCTGTTGAAGCACACAGTTTCTGTATAGAAAAACAACAACCACACAATGAAACACAAACAAAAAGAATAAAGCACGAGAACCGAGAATAGTAATTTGTCTTTATTGTTTAAATTCACCAAAAAGTTTTCTGCGTTACTACATCCAACAGCATTCATTGTTGTCGTCACTGAGACCTCATCGACCCTTGAGTGACGATAGTGTGACATCATCAGTGCCACCATGATGTCATAGCATCATGACGTGACTCACACGGCAGAAAAAAACTACTCACAGTCAACCCATCCCAGAGTCCGTCATCAATAAAAGCATCTCGCCGCTACCCGTCAATAAAAGGATCTCACCGCTACCCGTGTAAAGCACAAACATTGCACATCAACTTATAGCATAGCATCAAGTCTTCTTCTTAAAATGACCAAAACCCACCGCTCTCGTTGACATGGAGTCAAATAAAATGTGTGAAAGTGTTTTCTCTTTAATCATACATGGGTTTATACATTTGAAATATGATGGTTTGCCACAGGCCTCCAAATAACACTCCAAATATAACTCAAATAACTAGCAAAGCATATACACAAGTTCAAACACCAATAGCACCGTGTGCGCTCATAATGCTCCAGTACTGTCATCTCACACCTTTGCTTTCTTTTCCCTAAATATCCACATCTAATATTTATCATGTGCAGGCATAGATTTCAACACTGACAAAGAAAACTTCTTATCTGTGCTACTTTCTACAAACAGGCTTTATTTGACAGATTGTGTATTAAATGTTGTATTTGTATTTTAAAACTATGGAGATATATTCCACATGTGTTTTTTCCGTTGGAATTTAAAGTTGAAGTCATAACTCTGGAGGCAGGGCCGTAGAGAGGATTTTAGAAATACTGAGGTCAAGAGTATCTCCCTACATAAATGTCTATAAATGGTCTAAAAGCAGTTTCAAATCTGGCATCATTTTGGGGTGTTTTACGCCTAAAACAGTCAAATTTCAAAGCAATATCATGATCTGGCTTTAAAACTTCACTATGTGTAATTTGTGTCATATAGTAAAATGTAAACTCCTCCTCGGGTCATTAAACCTACGGACCTTTTTTGCATCCTTAATAAAGTCATTATAATTATCCAGTGCCCTAAAATAATACAGTGCACATGTCCTGTGTGCAGCCCGGTCTAAGGGTTAAAAAAACCCATCATCATTTAGCTGAATACAGATGTTTAAAATGTTTTTACTTTGATTTTGTGTTTACAGTTTCAGGCTCAGTTGAGAGGATTTCTAAAATGTTTGTAGATTTACATAATCTGAAAATGTCATGCTATACAACAGCATTTTTGTATTGATTCTGCCCTTTTCTGACAAGGTTTGGGCTCTTTATAAAAGTGCTAATTTCATGTTAAACCAAACTTAATACCCTATCTTTTGCATTTTTATCTCTACTACTCTTCGTTTTCCCTGCCTCATCATATCTAATATACTCTCATTTGGTATCATTTGCCACTCTTCAACATAACACTGTATATCTTAGCTGCTTTATGTCCACTTGGTGAAGTTAATCTATGGCTATAATCTCCTTTAGTACCATCTTAATGATGAGGAGCCTTACATACAGTGTGCTAACTGATTCCCAGTTCTCCTCAGAAAAAATGAGGTTAAATATAATTTCGGGTGTGACATTCTTTGCACTAGAAATTGCATTATTTTGACTAGTATGGCTATGTTAGCTTTGTTTAAACATACAGAATACACTAATGCAGGGTAAGATCTGCTGGACAAGTGCCTTTTTACTGCATGTCACTCCATCTGTTTCTTTTGTAATAATTTATGTTATATTTTCTGTTCTGTTAGTAATACTATGAAAAAAAGATGATGAAACTGAAATGTGTGCATTGTTCAGAAAGTCAAGGACTTTCAGGAACAGTCTGATCGTCCTTCATGAATGCAGTGGAACTACAAGGAAGAATAATGGCATCAGAACAATGTCAAGCTAAATATCCCTCCCACAGAACTTGCATAAATCTCTTCATTAAATCATCTGCTATATACAGTAATACATTTAATCGTTACATATACGGCTCATCCGAGCCTGGCAAATCTCTTGAACAGTACTATACCATAGTCCAGTAACCATATAGTCATCCCTCTTCATCAAGACCAAAGTAACCAAAAGTCACATTTCCTTATACAGTAGAATACAGTAGACATCTTTCAAGTAAAAGAACTGCTTTTCTAAGAATACTGGTGTGTTCACAAAATTGTAGCAGATCTGAGTCAAATCAGAATTGAAATCAATTCTAATCCAAGTAATCATATGGTAAATGTTTTTATCTGTTATTTTTTTGAAGAGTCAAACAAACCCTGCAGCGGCTGCAAAGCTACAAAACGGAACTGCATGTGAGTGGGATTTCAATGAGTGTATTTGACCCAGGTCTGCGTAATGGTTAGCAGACAAAACTTCATAATCAGATGATCGACAGAACATAGTGACTAATTCTTGTTTTCATTGCTGAAACTGATGAAAGAAAAAAGCATTTATTTTTAAAAGTACAGAAATGCCATCATAACCACAGACAACAAAGCCGCCGATTTCTCTGTTTTGAAGAATGCCTTTTTTTTTTGCCTTGAAATAAGGTGAGTGAAAGGGAAACACTCACTACATCTTTTTTGTACAGTAATCCATTGATAATAATCAATGCACAAAAGTAAAAGACAAAAGCACACAAATATCCAAAAACTGAAGTTGAGACAGCTCAAGACAGAGTTTTTTTTTCCTTTTTCATTGGATTTTTTTTCTCACTTAAATTTAAAATACACATATTAACCAGCTGTAGAAGGTTTACATAGGAATTTGGATTCATCAAAAACAAAAACAAAAAGCACAGTTTTAAGTCAGTCCAGCTTTCCTGGCTTTATGGTGGACCTTATGGGCAAGTCCAGGATTATCCAGTCCAGTCCAGCTTAGAGGAGGAGTAGACTACTGGCCATGGCTGGGGCACTACTGTACTGATAATGCAGCGCTGTGTGCCAGATGGCAGTTACTGTACGATGACTGCTGGGGCAGAGAACTAGTTGGAAGGTTGCCCTTGTCACACTGCACATGACACTGTATTGTACACACCCTGTTTATCCACTCTGCACACGCGTGTAATTATGCAGGGTGGCACGGTAAAGCTTCACGCAGCTCAGTTCAGTTCAGCAGTGTGAGGGGCCTCTTTCTGTACAGTGGTGATCACCACAGAAGAGGCAGTCTACATGGAGATAATGACAAGGGGCCCAGAGGGGCCAGCAAAAGCCTATGAGGCCAAGGGGGGCTCAGGGAGCAGAAAGAATACAGAAAGGAAGAGAAGTATGGCTGAACGTTTGCATTGGTAGGAGACTGAAGCAGAGGTTTGACCGGGGGATGGGGGTTATGGGGCAGAGAAGTTCTGGAGATTGAGAAACGTGTTGAGCTGCAGATGAAGCGGGCTAAGAGAGGATAGATCAAGGCCAGGCCAGTGGAGAGAGAGGAAGCTGGAGATAAGGCGGGGGCAGGGAGGGGATCCACTGGTGCTGAATGAAACAGAGAGGAAGTGAAGTGAAGGAGGCGTGATAAAGCTCCAGAGAGTTTTCAGGGAGAGAGAGGTCCTCTGCCTATCCAAAGAGACACCTGGAGGAGAAGACAGTGAACAAATATGAATGACCTGCCATTACATTACAGATTTATGTTGAATGTTCACTCAGCTGCTGCTATTTGGGACTTTTTTCCTGTCAGTGTAATGTGTAAAGGCCTGGACACAGCGGGATTTAAAATGGCGAAATTCATTGGTGAACTTTGACACACAAATTTGTGCTGTTGACCAATAGCAAGCTGTCTTGACAAAGCTGACCTCTGAGGAAACGGACGGCCAGAAGAGTCCACAATAGAGGAAGCTAAAGCTAAAAAGCCCATTATAGCTTATTAGCTGTGTTGCACCATCCGCTTGTATTTGACCTCCTCTGTTGGGAGTATAAACTGCTCAACCAAAGAGCAATGGTTTGCGGAATACATCTTTTAAATAAATGGTGTCTAATTAGCGATCAGGCTAGGCTAACTGGCTGTTAGCAAGCTCGTATCTCGGAGAGCTGTATTATCCCTCATCAGTTACTTTTTATTGCACAAAATGGAGTGCAATAGTGAACAAAATGCCAGGCCGACCTTTGGGTAAATGGTTTGCTTGCAGCTACAGTCTAAGACCAACTGGCACAGCAACGATATCACCAATTTTCTGTCCCCATCTATTACGTGTGGATGAGCACATGTCACTTTGTGGTGCGACAGGAGTTAAAAGATCTCATAATTAGGTCTGGAGGCTTTTTGACGGGAAATATTTAGCAGAATCAATAACACCTTCTTGTTTTTGTGGGATGTGCTAATCTTCCTATCATTTATTTAGTATTCGTTATTCCTTATTATTGCTTTTTATTTCTGTGTTTTCATCAAATTTAAGGGGTTTCATTGTATGTTAAGTTCAGTTGTTCAATTGTATGTTCAGTTCAATAGTTTTAGTCAGTGCAGGTACAACATTGCCTTCCTCTGAGCATCATTACAGACATTTGATCCTGTCATCCTTTTAACTGAAGGCAGGTCTGAAACTCCAGAAGAGATATTGTTGCTGTCTGGATGGAATTACTTGCCAAAGGCTTTTAGACCAGGGAAACAAAACCGACCAGGCAAACAAACATTTAAACAAAAGGTTTACAAACTGATTTTAAGTAATATGTTATAAGATTTACATGATTTTGGATTGTTAAAGTTGCCCTGTGAGTTATCTTGTTTACATTCAGTGTTACTCATCAAAAGGTATAATGTGTATCCTTGTTGAGTGCATTTGCTTCCTCATAAATCATTTGCAAGGTGAATTATTTGAAAGCTGCACTGTTTACATCTTTGCTTGCTTGCTAGCAGTCTTCTTATTCCATGTCTTTATTGGCGTATCGCTGCGTTTCTTCGCATGTTACCATCACCTGTACTTCAGTGCGTGTGCATCCTTGTGCGTGAAAACTCATTCAAACTGGATTATAGCAGAGGCAATGTAGGTTGTATTCCTATATAAATATGTTGATAAGTATATTATTCTGCGTATATGCTATGATACATGTTTTTAATGTAGATTTAAAAAACTCAAGCCCAGGGACAGATCACTAAAAATGTCAGCTAATTGTAATGTGCTTCAAGTGAAATTTCAATTTGTCACTTTGTGTGTATGAAGATTTCAAGCCCAAAACCCAGCCTGAAACCAAAATAACATTCAGGCAAATCAGGTCGTCTATTTCAGTTATTGATAATGGAGTACTCTAACTATAATTCTCCACTTACTAAACAAGCATGGCAACGTAATGAAATGAATGATATGACCCACCAAGGGTGTTTCCACTCAGTGACATGTCACTCAGGCAGATGACTTCAGCAGATGGTTTCAAGATGACGTGAGTTCTGCAGGGAGAAGAGAAGAACTGCTTCACACACTGAAAAAACACTGTTACACAAAATGTTTGCAGCTTGTCATGTATTAAACTACATTATACAGGAGCTGTATGTATCTCACCGGTGTGTCGTTCCACTGCCGTGGCAGGTCTTCTGGCTCGGGCGGGTAGGACATCCAGGAGGGGCTACGGTATGAGGACGGCGGTGACATTACAAAGTAGTCTGAGTAACCCGGGCGGTTGGCTGATATAGCGTAGACTGCTGTTATTGGGTTTCCTGTGAGATGTAAAAATGGATTTAGCCAATGAATGAATGAACTTAATCACAGCTACTATCTGCACTTCAACACCCCCTGTCATACCTGAGTAGGTGGTGATGGATTGGTCGACAGTGACAGCAGGAAAGGGGGTCCTGGACAGTGGCAGGTACGGAGCGCCGTTGTGCTGCTGGGCCTGCAGCTCTGAGGCCTCCGACACACGAGGCTTCAGACTCACATCAGGCGTGGAGCTGTCAGTGGAGAGGAGGTACAGACGTTAATCTGATATATAGTAATCACACAACAACCAAATTAATTTGTATGCTTTTAACAGCAGTTGTTGAATATAGCAGCACAAAACTAAAGCTCCATGTAGAAGAGAGAAGTCTGCACTCAGGTGAGGAGGAGATGTTTGCGCATTGTGTAAAAATATACTAGAAAGGTTTTCTCGCACTAAATTTTCTGGGTATAAACAGTTTAAAATGTGAACAGCATGTTTGCATGTATGGGTGTTTTAATTTAAGGTTGAAGCACTGAAAGGGTTTGAAGTGTCTGTTAAAGTGTAATCACTGAAAGCAATTTAAATTTTAGTAGGGCTGGGCACATTAACACGTTATTATCGCGTTAACGCATTAATTAATTAACAACGAGAATTATTTTATCGCACGTTAACACAGTATTTAGTATTTTGAAAGTCCGTTGCTCACTGGCTATGAATACACATGCAGTCAAAGTAACCATGCAACGGCTTCTGTGCGCTACACAGCTGTAGCCTTTTTAACTTAAGATAAAATTACAGGCTACATAACTTTACCTGAGAGGCCTTCATCTAGTTTTGTAGGGATGCCCTGTCATGTGAATTCCCTCCTGTTGATGTCCTATTTAGTTAAACACACAGGAAACTCACAAACAGCGAGGATCAGTCTCTCTTCCAATGATTTGTGTGCCGCGTCGCGTACAAAAAGTTCAAGGAAATTCAACTTCAGCGGCGGCCGGGCGTGTGTGTGAGGCGAGCACAACCACGACAGTTTCAGGGGAACACACCCGCTTGTCGCTACGCCTTGTGCTCGACCACTTCACTTCGCTCTAACAGGGACACTTGCTGCTGAACATAGGCTGTTTCTGCTGCTCCCTGATAAAAGAATAATGTTTCTGTTGATATCTGAAAACAGATTTATATATGTTGACCTGTTGCTCAGAAGGTGCCTGGTATGATGTTATGATCGTACCTCTGGATTCTGATGGTAACTTATTTTAACAAGCTAGATAAAAGGTAATGCCCTGGCAGTGACAAATAAATTAATATTTGATTTGATTACATTAATGTTTAAGTTGAGATTTACAAGAAATATTTTATTGCTACTGTGTAAAGGGAATACTGCTGGTAAAAAGCAACTTTTTAGTTGTTTAAAGTGTTTGCCAACCACATGTTATTGCACTTTTGTGTACACAAATTAAAAGTGCGCAATACACTACTTTAGAATTCATTATTCAATTTTGCGTGTAACAATGCGATTAATCATAGAAAATCATGCAATTCATTGTGATTAAAAATTTTAATTGTTGCCCAGCACTAAATTTTAGCCCTGAAGACAGGGTTGAGTTGTCTGTTTGTATGTAAGCACTGAAAGCAGGTGACCTGTTAACTGCAGAGAAAGAGGTGAAAGCAGCTGAAATATCAATCTTAGTTATGAAAGTACTGACACTTGAAGAGTAAATAATACATTACAGTCAACATCTAAGCCATTACAGCAGTGAAATTTGAGTTGGTGAGTAACATGAAAGCAGTTGAACTGTCATTTGAAATCTGAAAGATAAAAGCTGTTTAACAATCAGTTAAAATGTGTTAATTAGGTCAGTTGACATGTTTACTCAGCACACCAGATTCGGTTTTTAATCAGTTAATGTATTTTAATCGCAAAATTCATAAATTGCACACTAAGTATGAACTAATTATATACAAAACATTCTTCTCTTTCTTCTGTTTGTCATAAGGTAATAAACTATTTAGATTGTATGAAAACAAATACATGTAGCGAAATTCATTCTCTGCATTTAACCCATCCCTCAAGGGAGCAGTGGGCAGCCACTGTGCGGTGCCCAGGTACCAACTCCAGATCTGAGCCAATGTCATTGGTCAGTGGCACTGACTGGAGAACCTAACATGTTTTTTTGGGGGGGAACCAGAGCACCCAGAGGAAACCCACGCAGACACGGGGAGAACATGCAAACTCCACACAAAAAGGGGTTTGAACCCAAGACATTCTTGCGGTGAGGCCACAGTGCAATCCACTGGGCCATCGTGCCCCCTAAAGGTAGGGGTATGAATGTATTCAACTCGGTAAGTCAACCCACAGTTTCCCAATCCAGTCATGAGTAAGTTCACTTAAAGCGGCGGTGTTTGCAGCAGGCAAACATGGACCTACTTTTAGGCCAAATGAAGGATTCAATATTTCCCCACCAGATTTTTTTTCCTGGCAATAAGGAGAAGGCCTTGCGTTTACAACTAGACCTTCATCTTGACAGAAAATATAACTCAACAGCTGACCCCTTTAAATACAATATGAAAAATCCAAACATTTTTAAGACTTTCATTTTGATGCCTGCTTGCAATTTCATGGACTTCAGGGCTCTTCTCTTGGACTCATAACCTCACCATCTGAAAAGTCCTAGCTAAGACAGTGTTGTTATTGCTCTCTGTGTAGAAACATAATTTTACATTTTCACTGTGAAAGGTTTGTCAATATCCTTTTCTACCTCTTCTACATTGTAGCACCCTCCTCTGCACTGTAGAAATACTAAATACTATACATGTTACACTACTGTAGGAGACCTGAGGGCAGATGATGTCATTGGCAGGGCTCAGGACCATAATGCGCTGTGCACAGTAATGCCTCACAGTGCATACTAAAGAGGAATTAAATGCTCACACACCTGAGGGCACAGAGGAACTGACGTATGATGAGCTGACTGATTATTAAAACATAACTGTTTCTGGTTTTAGAGCAAGACTAATGGTCACACATCCATAGTTCTGATTCAAAATTAAATGAGCAGGTATTAGAGTACTGTAAAACCAACTGAGCTGTCTCTGTCGTACAAAATACAAACATACAAAATGTGTATTATATCTAAGTGAGTTCTTCAATATCTAAATGACGTATACGTGTTTTCTTGCAGTGTTGAGTTTTCCCCGTCGGTCTGCAGTACATCACAGCTGGAAGGTGTTTATTTGTAAGTGTTATTTTCTCAGTTTGTCCACTAGATGGCAAACATGCCCCTCCACACAATCTACAGCTGCTGCACAGTCAATCACTCTCTGCAGTGCTAAAGTGCCCAGCAACACGGTGCACACAGCAACAGCATTTAAATGAAGAAGCTGCTCAGTTCAAACGATGCCGACTAACATATGGGCTTGAGAGAGAGAGAGAGAGAGAGAGTGGATGTGGAGGGCAGTCAGTTCAAATGATGCTGATTAATATTCTGTAGCTTTTTTTTTTACTCTGTATTCTTCTGCGCGATCTGCACTAAGAATTCATCTATTTGTCTGGTACAGTGATTAGCCACAGAGCTGCTTTTTGATTGGCTAAAAAGAGATGCAATATGTGAACATTTCCTTTAAGTGTGATCTCTGAATATAATTATGGGCCACATGCTCAACACAGTCGAGTTTTCATTTACTTTATTAAAATATATTTTCTCATTCAACTGCCTGTAGTCTATATTTGTGTCTGTGTATGTGTGCTGGGTACCGTCGTAGCGAGGTCCCAGGTGGTGGTCCTGGCCTTGAGGGGATCAGTGGCGGGGGAGACCCGATGCCCATATCAGGAAGCTGGGTGAACCGGAAACCCTGCAGAAGCAACAAATCTAATTTAGACATATATTTAACTAGTATCTGGACGCTACAGTATGAGTACAACATATACAATTTTACCTTAAGCCAAATTCAGAAGACAAGTGGAAGGAACAACTAACTAATCTTGACAAAAAAAGGGTTAGAAAATCACATAGATGTCTGATCAGAGGCAATTTTATTCGTTGGTGGGTGTTCAATTCTCTTTTTAATCTCTGGAAAGCTTCTCCCCTGCTGATCAGATGTTGGCAATGCACACACCGACAGCACTGATGGCAGCTTTTCTGACTGTCCAACCTCTCTGCGCAAGTCTGTGTGCAAACATTTTAAAGGATCTAATGAGTGCTGTAAAAACTGAAGGACGTTGGTTTTATGAAATGTTCCTTACATGGCCCGATCCACTGATAACAATTCAATGTGTGCAAAAATGAATATTCACGACCTTGACAGGCTCAAAGAGCCATTTTTAAACAGCACTATTAGACTTGTTCTGCACAACCTTTAGTAGCATATCCTTACGCTTATGTGGCATAAAATAAAAACAATAAAAAGTGTAAAGTAACTAAGTACACTAACTCAAGTACTAAACTTAAGTACAATATTACTTGTACTTCACTTGAGTATTCTTATTTTGTGCAACATTGGACTTAAACTCCACTAGAAAGACAATGTTATATAAATAATATTCTTTTTATTTCATAACTTTGTAATCAAAACTCAATGACAGAAAATTGTCACAGGTTAAACTAATCAACAGTAGTAATGAAAAATAATCCTGACTGAATTAAATATTTTTATTTTGACATAAACAGTGGCTCACGTGTTTAATGTAAAAGCAGTCAGTGAGAGGTAAGCCCACAGAGAATCACTGTCCGACCCTGCAGTTCCCCTCAGCTCTAGCTACAGAGTGTTTTGGTGCCTTTTATCTCATATTTCGGGTTCTTCGGTCACAACCTCCCTTTTCTGATTCTCTTTCACAGGTCACAGCAGCACTGTTTCCAGCAGCAGCTGTTTTCAGCTCTGAAAACCAACTGTATGCTACTTGCCCAGCACCAAACAGCAGACAAAGTTAGCAACTAGCTGGTTAACATGGTGGAGCATTAAGCAGCTAAAGAGCCAACTTTGTACTAGTAATATCTATAAGGAGAAGCAGAATTGATAATCATTTCATGTAATTTTTTTATATACAAAAAAGATCCAGGTTCAATTTTCAATTCTATTCTCATCTAGTCTATCAGGTCCAATCCATGCCACAGATCATATGGAGACTTATCCTAATCCGTACTCTCCATAGACATTACTGTGAGTGGTTTATATTGGAAATACTTTCTTCTGAAACAAACAGCCCACTGACAGCAAAGTCTATCATATACTATAGGAAAGACGTTGCTGTTGAATGTATTTCAATGCTGTGAGCACCTGAAATGTAATTACATTCACCTCCACTGTATTGGTGTGGAAACTGAAATCTGAGAAACAGATTAATTATAAAAATTAATTTTTATAACTGGATTTGGTAACAAAGACCTCGACTTGAACACATCCCATTTCCGCTCAAAGTATTTAAGCACACCTCATCTCTCTCCCCTCTGACTCATTTTTCACATCCATTCTACCCAAACCCCTTTCTCCTTTTCTCTTCTCACACTTTCTGTCGCTTTTGTTTGAATGCAGCAACCACTGGAGGCTCTATCCATAGCAGAGCACACGAAGAGACGGTTCCCCCACTCAGAGTCTCAACTCCCCTGGTTCCCTCCTGTCTTACCTGCCACCAGCTGACACCGATCCATCGTTCTCTGGCATCTATCCATCAATCCATCCATCCACAACCCTGATCCGTCCCCTAAATCCTCCATCCCTCACCTTTTCATTCCCTCATTCATCACCCTTTATCTCCCTAACCTCGACTCTCATCCCCACATCCCTCGAACCCTCACTCTGCTTCCTCATCCCTACATTCCTGCATCCCTCCATTCAGACCCTTAATCCATTCTGGTATATAATCTTAGCTATTTTCAATAATATCCATAATATACAATAAAATATTCTGAATCCATATCTCTAGTGGCGTCCTCTTTGTCAGTGAGTCAAGCCTTAAACCTCCTGCTAGTGCTTACCGGTTTGGGCAGGCTACACTGGTGCATGTCTTCGTAGCCTGTGCTCCTCTGCCTGCCTCCACAGGGATGGTTCATGGTCCCTGGGGCACTGGTCACCCCGTCACTGTAGTGGCTGGTGTGGGACGGGTTGTAGGCTCTGTGGGCATGGTGGTGGTGATGGTGGTGGCTGCTGATGAGCGAGAAGAATGTCAACAAAAAAAAAAAAAAAAGTTTAGTAGAGAGATACACACCCACTCTCTCCAGAGTACTGTGCACAACCAAGCAGACATGCTCTGAAAACTCTACTTTGTGAAAAACAGCTTAGAGTGGGATGTATGCTCTTACACACTGGGATTTCAAATCATGTACCAGGGCGCCTCTCTCTTCTCTTTTCTTTCCTACACAATACTGTAAATCATGCAGATGTGCTAAGAAATACATAATCAGTGAAAAACGTAAATTTACTTGGTTGGAGGAGACGGGGGGTCGTGGTCCGGAGGTGCCAGGCTGAAGGCGTTGCCTAGCAACATATGCATCTGCGTGCGGACCTCGTCAATGGATGGCTGAGAGCTGAGTGTGGAGGAGTCGGAGCCACGGTGAGCTTTCACCCCCAAGCTGCCGTTCCCGGTGCCATTAGATCCACCTCCATAACCCAGAGAGCTCATGAGACGGTCCACATTGGTCTCCTCAAACGGTTCTGGTTCGCCCTAGAGAAAACACGGTCAAGTGAGCAGGACAGGGGTGCATTCCATCAACTTGCCCATCAAGTGATGGGAACATGGAAACCAAAATCACACATTGTTCTGACAAAGCAAATAACCGTCTCTCACCACCTGATGTATGAACCTCTTTCCTAAGAAACAAATGCTCTGAAGAATATACATAAATAGATATCCATAAATCAAATCCAGTGGTCTTGTTAAAATCAGTTCATGGAGAAGCTGAAAAAAAGGGAGAACTCACAAAATATAGCGATCAAGATGGTAAGGAGCAGAAGCCCACAGAAAATGCACCACAGAGATGTTGTTTCCCGGTAAGGGAGTCTAGAATAAACCAATAATTTTTTTACATTTCTTTCTCTAATCATCAGGTAGAATCATCAGTTCTCCTCTAGGTTCTCCTGCAACATGACTACGTACAGTTCCAATAACAATAATATAATATATATATATATATATATATATATATATATATATATATATATATATATAATATATATATATATATATATATATATATATATATATATATATATATATATATATATATATAATATAATATATATATATATATATATATATATATATATATATATATATATATATATATATAGGTGTTGATTCAACTGTATTAACTCTACTGAGGGTGCAGCTTGGTGGTGTTGAACTGTACTGCATTATACAGAGAGGTGTTTCAGTTAATTAGCATACCCTCATTGATTCTATTCTACGTGATCTCCTTTTGATAACTAATATAATAACTAACTCCCCGTGGGGAGGCCTTCCTCCCACCTTGAAAACCTCTGAGTTAGTTAGCTAGCTGTACCTAATAAACTGTATTTTTATATATTATTTGGGATTTATTTAAAGTCACTTAACTGTTTAAGTGTTTAAACTGTATTACATCAGACAATGACAACTTCAGTAACTACTTTAGTCAGTTTTTAATTAACATTTGTATGGATTAATTAATTTGGATACAGAAAAATGTAATAAGATTGTAATATTACACACTAAAAGTTGATCAACAATAATATTATCCAAAATTATTACCCAGCACTCAAACATATAAAATACAAAGCAGCACACACACACACACACACACACAAACATGAAGCAGACAAAGCAGCTGTAGCCCCAAACCAACATAAACTGTATATGTATATATAACCTAGTATACTGTAGCAGGTTGCATATAGCAACAATTCTAAAGCATGAAAACCAAGCTGATAAGATACATATATTCTACTGTATGAATATACACATACAGACAAGCTCCTGCACAAACACACTCAGGGTTTTTCCTGCATAGAGAAATTTTTGGAAATGTTGAACTCAACTTTTATTATTGACAAGACTCTGCATAAACAAATGAGAGACTAACCAGCATGTAGAGCATCTTTCTTGCACAATAATTTAATGACTGAAAATAAACAAAATAAATGAAAGTGCTCTTTTGTCCAACTGGAATTAATGTTAGGCTACTAATGGTAAGCTATAGTAGCCTGTACTATTATCTGAAATTATAATGAATACACAAACATTAGCACTAATCAAACCTTAACCACAGTGGTCTAGGCTAATATCAGAAAATGGTTTTATTTGTGAAACAACTGAATCTCAACTAATAAACTATCTGTAGGCAGATTATCCAAATCAAGTGTAACCTGTAAATATATTATTATACTAACATTATACTTTCTATTTAATGTTGAATTATGTATTAATACTCTAATTTATACCTTTACTCCTCCAGATTGTAGATATATTGTGTTTATTAAATGGAAATAACAAGAAAATACATAGATTTCAGTCATAAGGTAACTCATTGACTTTACTGTATGCGTACCGATCAAGCTTATTGTCCCCCCCCCAAAGGCCCATCCTGAGCCAGGAAAAACCCTGCACACTGTGTTCTCTTTGTGCCGTTTCAAACAGTTTGGTGCATCCAAGGCTATTAACTGCTATCGAGTCTCCCATCTGAATCCATGAATAGGCTATAATCATATTCAGAGTCATTGACATTCAGCTAGGTAGCACAGTCGCTGCTGTTACTGTGGTGCAGCAGAGAAGCAGCAGAAAGAGATTTCACTCACACTTGCTACTATCTGTCCCCATTTTATCTCCTTCTCTCACAGTCTTTCTTCCGTTCTCCATCGTACGCTCTCGTTAAAATGAAGAAATCACTGCTCTAATCTTCTGGTCATTTCCTCCCTTTCTGTCATACTTCCTCTGTCTTTATCTTTCTGTTTAGTGCAGGTTTATAAAGTTCATCCGCAGGTGATTTGTTAATCCTCTAGGTATGAGCTCGGAGCATCAGGGTGAGAGCGTAGGATGGAAAGGAAGGATTAAAGTTATAAATGCTCTCAAAAGATTAATTTATTAGTTTGAGAAAGTGCCAGAGCTGTACTTTGCCACAACCATCATGTGACCTATTTGGAAGAAGGAGGATCCATCCAGCGTTTCATCATCTCTCTGTATGACTCACCTGGTCAGAGGCTGAACCTGAGCTGCTAAATTACAGTTGGTTACAGGATCCAACTTCAGAATCCTTCAAAGCTTCGCATGGTCTTTGTCGCTGGGTACTTCTCTGAATATCTCCTAAAGTAAAGCTCTCACATTCTCTACTTACACACCCTTGGTCCTGGTTAAAACTTAAGAGTTATAGAGGCTTCAAATCACTAACATTTTTAAAACTCGTGTTAAAAGCAACATTGTTTCACTGTCCTCTTCCTGCTTCGGATGTGATCTTCTACCTCACAGTTATAAAAGAACAAAGAACGTTTACCCGGCTTTAATTTGAAAGTACCTGACTTGTCCAGGTACTCACGTCGTAGCCGTTGTTACGGATGCCCCTCCTGGATCTTTCTCTGAGCACCAGCAGGTCCATCTCCGTCTCTACTGGGCTCGGGCTACTCAGAGACTGCCGGCTCCAATAGGTGGGCTCCCGTGGGTGCGAGTACCTGATGGTAGGTGTGTGAAAAAACACACTTAACACTGTAACTACAGCAAGGTGTCATACTGTAGCTACTTCTGGAGAAAGTTTTATCAGGTTTCAGAGAGTGAGGAATGTTTACATGTAACACACGTACTTCAGCTAGCTTCACATGGTGGGATTCAGGGATACTTTTTTTAAATAAAAAGCATAGTGTTTTAAATAGTGAAGTCAAACTTTTCTGAGCTGATTATTCAATGGCTGTTAAAACATACTGTATAACACCTGGGCCATTTAATGTTTTCATTCACTTATTTTTATTTTTTATTTCATTTTATGATCCTGATTCCCGCTTCATTATTGATTACCTCCTGTATAGGCTACTTGTTGTATTTGCAACAAAGTTTATTGGAAAAAAACAATAAAAAAAAAATTCTGGTTGAAATGGACATGAACTGTGTAGAGGTTGAATGTGTTAAATCAGTTTGAGACAAAGAAAAGCAAAACAGACACTTATCCGCATGAACTGTGAAATATGCGCTGGCCAAAAATCACCCCTCACTACTCACTCACTCCTTATGTGTTGCTTAGCAACTATGCGCTACACATCTACAGTAGATCTATCATTCTTGGTGGAAAAATACCATTTATTTAGCATTAATTATTACTGATCCAACAACAAAATCACATTTTCATAACAGTAAGATTAAGTCTGCCTAACGTCAGTCAGTAAAGCACTTAGTATAATTAATAATAGTTTACTGCTTAAATAATTATGAAATGAAATGGAACAAAACATTCGCTTCAATAATGAAACAGAACTCACTTTTAATGCTGAAGTCTAATCCTCTAATTTTGGGAGCATCAAAACATTTTAACAGAGATTTTGCCCCAGCCAACATTTGAATATAATTTGAGTTAATTCTTTTGACTTCTTTAACCACCTGCAGTGAAGGCCAATGAAGCTTATGATTTAATGGAGATTCTTATATTTTCAATGACCAAATTATACTATTTTTTCCAGTATCTCTGGAACCCCGACTCCATACCTCTTATGACAACCAGCGAAGGAGGCCCTCTTCTCCTCAGCGGTCATTGGCTCCTTGACCGCGCTGTCGTGCCGACTGTGCCTGGTATCACGGTGACTATAACCATGGCTGCCGGTCTCAGACAGAGAGAACTCTCCGTAGCCTTTCCTCCGGGCCTTCTGCCGCAGTTTGTTCCTGTAGTGCTCGATGTCCGACTTCTGCTTCAAACCAACATGGTTTGCCTGCAAACAATCCATTCAGGTATTGAATTCAAGTAATCATATTTTCCTGGCTTCAATTCAGCGTTGTTTTCATGCTTTATGATGAACTGTTTCATATTTTTTTAATTTTTTTTGTCCCTTCTTTCTAGTGCTGAGATATGTTTGAACAAACATTCCCTACAGCTCGATAATCGGAGAATGTGTATCATGTTTAGGGTAAACATGATATTTTCTGCTAATGGAAACCAATCAATTGCAGATGAACTAGAAAACCAGAGAGCCCCAGAGGAGATTTCCTGGTCTTATGTTAAGAGATTGAGAGATAATTTATCATTAGCCTGCGTATCGCTGTCTTAGCTACAGAGAGGTGCACAGAGGTTAACATGGAATTGGAAGGAAAGGGAGGAAAACAGTGAGAGGTGACAGGCTGAGAGGGAGGAAAAGTGTTAAGACGGGTGAGAGTTTAGAGGAGGAGAGGAGGCATAGTGTTTGTAGCAACAACAGCTAAATTCAGCATCAGTGCAGCATGTCCCAGAGGAGATGTTATGATTATACTACAGTAGAGGCAGGGCAGGATAACAGACGCCTGAAACTGAATAATGTAACATAAAGCATTGACATTTCCAAACACAAACCTGAATCTCTGCCACACCCTCGTACACAGCTACCAAATGTTGCTGCACAGTATGTTTCTGTGTGACTGATGATGATGACGTTCTACTTTTTGCTCTGCCATGTGCTGTCAACACTGCAGACTCATCTTACAGCAGAGTGCGATTAAGCCTCGAGGTCATGTGTACATCATGTATATGTGTGTGCGTGTGCAGACTCACTTCCCCGTTGAGGACCACAGAGTCTTGGCTGTGGGATGAGGAGGAGGGGTAGGAATAAGTTGGCTGGGCCGTCATAGGTTTGATGGTGATGAGACGCAGAGAGCCTGAGTGGTCTTCGTACGGGTCTGGGAAGAAGAGGAAGACAAATGGGTTAGCGAGACTCAGACAGAAACAGTCCTTCCAGGAAGCTGTGATGTTGCAAGTGCAGGGATTTTCACAAATTCTACTAATCCCCACATTATTCAAACAGCAATTATGTTCAATCCGCTGATTGTAATTGTCAAATTGGGGGGGGGGGGGGGGTTGCACATTTTTAGCCAGTCTGGCAGTTTCTGACTGCAAATTGATTTAACTTGACCTTCCTTTTTGGCCATAGTGTCTTTCCAGTTTGAGTACATTTAATGTTAATGTCACGTCTTGTTCATTCTGCAGTAGGGATAGACAGGGAAAAATTAGAGTTAGATGAGAAGATTGATACCACGCTTATGTCTGTATGATACATATGTCAGAAGCTAGAGTCAGAAGCTGATTAGCTTAGCTTTGCATATAAAATGGAAACATTTTATCTTGTTTGTTTAACCCCTGCAAAAACCCAAGTGTAAGAAAAACAGGCTGTGGTTTATGCGCAGAGCCAGGCTAGCTGTCCTGATCCTCACATCTAACTCTCAGCAAGAAACCAAATGAGCTTTTTTCCAAAAGAGGTCAAACCTTTCCCTTAATGAGGCATGGTAAAGAGTGAGAGTGTGACTGCTTCTCCTGCTGCAGTTTTTCTTGTCTCCTTTTCTATGACAAAAAAAAAGTAGTATTGAATAAATTTCACGTAACTCAGACATTGAATCGGGACCAGCAGTAAAAAATGAAAAAGCTACAAGGCCCTACTAAATGATAAATGTGTAGAAAACATAACAACCCAAATACATACTACCTAATGGGAATGCAGAGAAAATATGTATGTACAGTAGCTGTGTATTTGAGAGAAATGTATCTGTACGGTCCTCACACACAATTCTAAAAGTCGGCTTTTCATCCTGCTGTTTTGTTTCATGGTTCCCAAGCTTCCAGTGACCTTGCTATGCTTTCACACACTCCATAATAATGACATTTGTCTAATATGTCTCTATGGTAAGATTCACTTGTTGTCATGGCAACTCTACAAATTTAGATTAGAGCAATTCACCACTGTTCACAGTTTAGGTCCCATGGCACAGGATTTCAAAAAACACTGCTCTGTGCTGTTTTCTTTTACTCGCCTCTCAGAGAAAACATCAGCTGTATGATGTGTCGTCCGCCTCTTCCAGTATATGAGGCTCCTGCATGTATGTGTGCATACGTGAGAGCGGCAGATGGAAAGTGTTGTGTTGTACTGGGCCCACTGTGACTCACTGCCTGACTGACATCATATGGCAGACTGCTTCGTTGTATGGCTACAACAGTCTGCCATTAACTCAGCTCCAAACCCACACTGTCACCATTCGTCCTGGCAGCAGTTCAGTCTGCTCTATTTGTTGCAGTTCTTGCACAAGATTGGAAACCGCGACACTACACGTAAATAAGGTGCACGCATAATAACATCAGATGCCGAACATTGGCCAGTTGTTTTCATCAAACATCTAAAGTATTTTCATATGATCATGTAGCTTTATTTGGTTGCTACAAAACATAATACATAATAATTCTGCAACAACTTAGTGAGGGCAATTTTTTTGTGTGTGTTGTCTGTACACTGGGACTCAATTGAAAATCTCCTTGCTAATAAGTACTGTGCTCTGATTTTTTATTGCTTCGGAATTATGAATTTTGTTGTTGATGGTGGAAGGAAACAGGAGTGCCCAGGGAAAACCCACGCAAACACGGGGAGAACATGCAAACTCCACACAGAAAGGCCTGGGCTGAATGAGGTCTAAACCCTGGGCCTTCTTGCTGTGAGGCCACCGTGCTGCCCGTTGACAGAGAAGAGAAACGGGAAACAGGATTTGGGGGGAGGGATGTGAGAACTGAGAAATGGAGAGAAAGGGCTTAGATAGGCTTATATACGTATGTACAGGTGATTGGATTAGAGAGGCACAGGTTGATGAAATGAGTGAAGCCCTGGTGGTTGGATTAGTGAGAGAGAGAGGTATGGTCTTGTTCCTGATCCTCAGTTATAATAACTACATGTACAGAGAGTGTTTTAGCCACACTAGGGGAGTGGCTATAGGGATGGCAAAATCAGGCTGTATTTAAAAAAAAAATAAAGGTTTGTTAGGTAACTATGTACATGGCATAAAAATATTTGCATTTGTACCTTGCAGATTAGAGAAGGGCTGGTGTCATTAGCCATTTCAATGTGCAGGAAAAAGGCAAACGAATGATGAGGATCAATTTGAGGGTCAATTTGATCTCTACCAGGACCTGTGTCGTATGTCATCCTCCTTCCCGTTACACACTTTGATTCAACTGTTAACACTATCTCTACATTGAATTGACTTGTTTCCGGCTTGTGTACTTCAGCTTAAAGAAGGTGAGTAATAGAGACTAATCTGTCTGATGAAGAGACTCACCCCACATTAAATCAGTGACATTCTTAAATACACCAACAGTGTCCAAACTCATCTTATATGCTAATTTTCCTGCACCATCTGTGACTGACTAACGAGATGTAACTGTTGTCTGTTCTCATTGTTTGCCATCATCAATGCTCATGATCATCACTACATTGATCATCAAACAGTTAAATGTGTTTTCTCCTAACAGCCACTGTTATCACCACCAAAGGGCTGAAACATAAAGCTGAAACATCATTAAGTTGATCTGATAGTGGAAGCGCAGATAACATCCTTTACTGCCCTCACACACACATCTGATTTAATTTTAACCTATTCCCATACTGGGGTTAAAGAACATGATGTCTGTTACCATTGGTAACATTGGTGAACTTTTTGCTCCACTGCTCTCCTTAAATAACAGATGCTGATGTATTTTAAAATCAAAATAAAATGTCATTGTGGACACTTATTTTTGTCTGTTGGCTGGTCACCAAGAAAAAATATTGCATTAACAACTTTCCATAAAACAACAACTTACGACATGTTAATTACTAAGCTTTAGAGGTGCTATTTCTGTGTTTTTCTTCTTTTTATCTTTTGTATATTTCATTGTCCTTTGTCTACTTTAGGTTCTAGAAATGAATTCAGCATAACTGTGAATACAAGTTAATAAATAAAATGTGCAGTCTTTGAGTTGTCTCTCTAACAGGAAATTCTATCTGTCACGCGCCCGCGCCCATACCCCGTGCATCAGATCGATTCTTCTCATAACACAGTCTCCTTTCTCATGCCTGGTTTGAGTGCTTGCTGCATATACTAGGTCAAGGTCAAGTGCTAAGATAATAATCTCTGCACACACCCAACACATTTTCCCAACAGACAAGCATTCAGTAAAATTCTCCTCCTTAAAGCAATAAGCTGTGTGTACTTTTGATTAGTTGTTACAAAATGAACCTTTAGTAATTGTTTCCCCTACGCCTTCTTCTGATTGTGTATATGATCTTCTGTTCCTCTGAATTGTACATCTATGCTTCTAGTTTAGTGGATTTACCCTTTAATTAATCTTTAATTTCTTGAACAGATTTCCAGTGTTCTCCAGTCAGTTTTTCTTTCGTCTCTCTCTTTTTTTCTAAAGATCTACTCCTGTCCATCCCCATTTCTCTGAACAGTAGTGAGAAAATGAAATAGTTAGTCATCCTCTTCTCCTCTCCTTCTCTCCTCCGGGTATTCAATCATTCGCTTGCATAAACACTATAAATCACAGAAATTACTGTGAACATTGGTTGGCTGATGCAAAAGAAATTGAAAATCACAGCGTCCTAGAATGTCACTGAACAGACGCAACGTTGCAGCGTTATCAGTGATCAGAGCATTGTTTATGCAACCAATTCGGAATGTGCAGAGCTGGAAAAAGATCTGCTTGTTAATCTGTTGAACAAGTCATATTGAAGGTGCAGTACATTTACTGCCACCACTGATAACAGGTACTGTAGATAAAAGCATGTGTAATATGTGTCTGTCTAGGAATCTTTATCAAAGTATAAATGGGATTATAAAATATATTCAACGGACACTGGAAACTGAGCTGTACAGATAAGATAATTCTCCAAGCAAAAGCAATTACTTATGATTAATCAACTTAATCGAACCTCTGTGACATTTCAAAAAGACCATTATTACAAATGTTTGTTTTGCAGCAACAAACTTTTAATTTAATTTCAAATCCTAGTCAAGAGCCCATGTACGCAAAATGTGGAGTTATCAATTTGCTGGTGGTGCATGCAACCTTAATCATTTCTTTTTGTTTTAAGAAAAATGTTAATTTAGGAACCTAAGTGATGTGCATTAAACATGCAGATACAGAAATAAGAAAACACTGAGAACATAAGTTACCATACAGTAGCTAACAAGTGCAAATGATGTAACTTTTAAGAAAAGCATCACCAAGAACTGCTTCAAATAGTAAGTTAACACATATCTGACTACACCGAGCGTCACTGACAGGTCTGAAATGGTCAGAGAACACTCTCCTACCTCACCCTACAGCTGACACACCATGGAGTACACAAATCACATCACTGCTACAACCAGAGGTCAGCAAAGTCAAGATTTTCAGCAGGCTAACTCTTTCAACCATCATTCACCACAGTGGAAGCATTCTGTATGTTTGATAGGATAGGCTGACACGGTGTTCATGTTAGCTGATTTCTTATTGCGAGGAAGGGAGGATTTGTTTTGTTTTGCCCTAACAAATCAGTAGCGAGTCACATATCTGTCCCACCAGCGATATTCTCAGTCAACACAGAAGCTATGGGGTTGTTAGCTGGAAGCAGTTCACTTTTTTCACAAAAGTTTAATAAGCAGGCTACAGTATGTCGATTTAGTTGTTATTTCTGTAAGTCGTCTTACAACAACCTCTAAAGCTACATAGAGCTTTGTGCCACTTTTGTGGGTGTCATTTTGAAGTTTTTCATGGATGTAACCAGTTAGCTAGCTAGCTAGCTATGTAGTAAGGTGTCAGGGGTAAATGAGTACAATACGTGACCTAGTTGTATTAAATGAACAAATCAAAGATGTTCGTGGTGATTCGGACATCTGGAACAAGACTACATTTTTGAACCTACATCAAATCAAAAACCAGGCAACACAGAATTCTGATTTAATGTTCTCTGGTTTGTACAAAATTAATGGAGTTTATCTTAAGTAACATTTTGATCATGTTTCTGGCTCTGTGGTCCCAGTTTTAAAGAAGACAAGGGTCTTTATAGGGTTGTGAGGTTGATAAGTTATAACTAATGACATTAGTCATGGTAAATACTGACCTATTAATGACTTGCTAACGTTGAGTCTGAAATGGGTGTGCGAAAAGACAAAGCAAGTGTCTCAAGGTAGATAAACACCATCGAAATCATATTGCCTGGCAACCCACGTTTTGCTTTTATCAATAAGTTAGTAATAAGCATCAGAAAATGATTGATGAAACAATAACAAAGCTAGTTACAACTTATAACCCCTTTATAAAGGGTGCCTTACATTAAAAGTGGTATCCTGACTGTGACTAACCATCATTTTGATTGTAGTTCTGTCAAAACCTGGTGGTGTTTTGTTTTGGGTTTTTTTGTATGTAAGTAACATATCTGCTATGTTTCAGTGTTTAAGTTGATTGGGATGGATCACCAGGGTAAAAAAGTAATCCCTTTACTTGAAATTACAGTACTAATTTGTTTTTAATAGCTACCCAGGGTATCAGTGTCTTTTCTCTCTGGATAAGGATTCCTCTGAGTGTCATGGGTTCAACGATGAGTCATTCTTCTAATGCACAAACCAAATGCTGTGGGTTGTATGGATTTGAATAACACCTAACTTGACAGTATGCTGTCACAACTATTGCCACCCACTTTCCTGTCTTTCCTCTGTGATTCTACTCCAAAGTAACTTGACGCACTGCTTAAGGCACACACACTGCCAGCCGTTGGCTTTTGTCTCTATAAGACACTTTTAGCTTTGCATCCTGGAATGAGGCAAGCCAACTGAAAACACCTAAAAACTGCAATACAAAAATATGAAATGCATCTTTTGATTCAGTTAAGACCTATATCTGCTGTTTGTGGGTATGAGTGTGTGTGTGTGTGTGTGTGTGTGTTTGAGGAGTAAAAAGATATGTGAGAGTATGTGATTTGAGTAAATGTGTCCTCACCATTGCAGTAATGTAATAATATTACTTTTCCCAGTAACTAGTGGTGTAACAAATTATTTTTCTAAAACAGTAATATTATTACAGTTACTAATGCGTGTTAATGCTGCGTTACTCGTTCCTGAACGCACCATCCTTGACGTGAATCCACGACTGTGCGGCAGCTCAGTGGCACAGGACTTTGTTGTTCATGTCCGCTGAGAGCCAAAACTAAAGGAAGAGTGGAGAACGAGGGCGAGAGGCGTTCTTTCCACAGCTGTAAGTAGCCACTGCCATTATTGTGTCACAGTCTAAGATGCAAAGAACATTGTCGTCTAGTGTAAACTCTGTGCGAGCAGCAAAAAGCTTTCAACCGTCAACATTTCTACATCTGATTTATTGAAGCATCTGCTGAAGCAGCACAGCAACGTGAAACTTACAGAAAGAAAGCACTGATGCTTTGGACTCGTCGGGAGAGAGTGGCGTTAACGTAACGTTTTGTAACTACTGAAGACTGCTCTTATAAACAGGCTACATGTGCAGAAAAACAGTAGTTCAAAAGTCGGGATTTACTTGCTTTATTTTTTATTTCAGCCGGTGGTGTTAAGAAACGTTAGGCCGCGGCTATATGCTTTATAAAAAAACACACTCCTTGCTGCTGTTATGAATATGATATTAGTTAAAAAGTCGGCTGCTTTGTTTGTGAGTGAAGGGTGGTAGTGAAAGCAGTGTTTCCCATAATTAGACAATAATTTGGATAATTATCAACACGGACCGGCATTTTTATTAGGCATATTTAAAATCATATTTGATTGAGGAGTATAATTCATGCAGCACCTCCTCACTCGCTCCCTCTTTCTCTCTCTCCTGAAAATCGCTGCACAAACCTGTCCAAAGTTAGTTAATAAACCCCTGCCCCCCGTAACGTAATGAGTAACATAACTAGTTACTTTTATCACCCAGTAATAAGTAAAGTAATAATATTACTTTTTTAAGGAGTAATAAGTAACTAGTAATATATTACAATTTCTGAGTAACTTGCCCAACACTGGTCATCACTATCATGTTCAGCTGGCTGAGTCACTGTTTGTATGAGTGAGTTCCCTCTTTGTGCTCATCTGCACTTCACGATATCATATTAATTATGCTTTGGGTAAAATATCATAGTACAAGAAGTGTGTGTGTGTGGGGTGCACTTGTGTTCATGAGTAAGGTTAGTGTATGTGTGTTTCATTTTCTTATTTTTTTTAACCAATGACAGACTTTGTGATGGGCACAAACATAAAGAAAGACTATCTATCCATCAGTGTGTGTCTGTAGGCCTATAACATTAAGTATTTCTTCTTCACTTAATTCTTTGTCTTTCCTCCCTCATCCATTCTCTGTACCTTATTTTCTCTCTCTCTCTCTTTACCACCCCTCCCTCCTCCTCCTCCCCCTTCTCACCGTTGGTGCTCCTCTTGTGTAGCTCCTCCTTGCCGTTCTTGCCGCTGCTGCTGCCGGTCGCCGTCCTTCGGGCCGAGGAGCTCTTGCTAGTGTTCAGCTTCCCAGAGCCGTTACTCGACATGGAGCCGTCCTCCTCGCTTGGCAACCGCCTGTAGTATCCATGGCAACAGAGAGAGGCATGGGAGAAAGGAAAGGGGAGTCTCAATGTGTACACAAACAGGGCATCATCTCTTGGCTAATACTGGCAACACACTATCAACTTTTAATGTAAGTTTAAAAACATACCATTAATGGAGCATTAAAAATAGATTCTAAAACGCCAAAAAATGTTGGCTGGAAAATCATCCAACAATAAATGCAACCCAAAATTATTAAGAGCTTCTTAAGAGCAACAATGTGAAGTGCAAAGCAATGGGATTTCATTGTAAAATCACAGCTTCAGCATGACTGTGTGCCTGCCTTTTTGTTTGCGTTTCTTCTTTTTGGTTGGTGTCTCTTTTCTTCATGCTTCTCAGTTCTTCTTTACTTTTCTCATATTTTCTTTGTAATTCTGAGCCTGGTCTTTAAAATAACTGGACAAATGTTCTAGTGATGGAGATTGTGTGTGGTGGGGCTCTGCTGTCTGTCATATCCTGTCAGGAAATGACCACAGAGCTCTGATGCTTTCGATGCTATTAGCATTCGTGCAGTAGTACCACGACATCAAAGTTCCTAAAAGCTTACTGCCAACCCTCTGTTAAAGACATCTACAGTACTCTAAAGTTATTGACATTCACTATGAGCAAACGTTGGCAAGCTTGTTTGCTCATTTGATAGCTTCTTAGCTACATCCATGCAAAGCCAGCCATTTGTAAAATGTGTAAAAACCTGTTTTGACTCAGATTTAAAGCATTTTAAAACATTTAAAGTTCTTGACAATAAGAAACTGGACATTTTTAATAGTTATTCAGTTTATTCAGTGCAATTTGTGAATGCCACACAAACAACTATGTTAATTTAAATTAATATCAAAATGCTATTTGTACCTCCAAGTAGTCTACAGCCATGGACGGATTATGCAAAAATGGCACCCTGGACACAGATATGTAAAAAAAAAAAAACACCCCACATACACAGGAGCAAGGCACCCACACTCAAAGACTAAAAATGACTCCATACATGACCCCGTACAACGCTGTTCTGGGTTTACATCTTCTTGCTCCTTTTTGTGTCTCTTTCTGGTTGTTACGTGCCATTTTGTGTGCATTTGTTTGTGGTCATTTGATTGACTTTCCCAAGACATGGTAACAGTCACTTCATGCAGAGGTTCTGGACCAGGTCCTGGGCCTGTACCGGTAGGCCTATTCAGCAGTCCATCTGATCCACCCCACTGGTTATCAGACAACAGAACGAGCCTAAACAGTGATTTGATTGTGGCTCATAAATGCTAACACTGACTGCTAAAGGGGCAAATCAACTCCTGTACTACTGCATTGTACTGTACAGTGTAGCTATTTTTCATCTTTTGTAAAGATAATTATTTTGGGTTGAAGTCATTGTGAGATGGTTTGCAATCCGACGTTTCTTTGCATTTTTATTAACAGAATTAATCCCATCAAAAACCATGCTATATTCAAGCTTAGAAAATGTTGGGAAATCCAGGACAAATGTAAAGGACAAATAGAGCAGCAACAATCCTGATTTTGTTGGGCAGGTTGTTCAACAGCCAGGGGCCTTGATGGAAATAACTTGATATATATGTATGTCACTTACACAGGCACACACACACACACACAAACATGCATACACACTACACACACGGCTGTAGAAGAGTCAAAAAAGTCATGGAACAACGTACATGAAGACATATATATATATAGACATCTTCTAGCCTGACACACACCAGGCACGTAACCATGTATACAACACACACACACACACACACACACACACACACACACACTAATAGCCTTGAGGCATGTAAGCCGCAGCAGTTACCTAACATGACAGGCCAGTCTACAGGTGGTGTGAGATGCACAGATCAGCAAGACTGGACATTATAGAGCCACAGGCGAGGCTAACACCTTGTCTGTGTTAACACGCGCGCACACACACACACCCACACACACACACACGCTGGTTGAGCTGCAGTCAATGGTTGGCCAAGTCACAGTATAAGTCATGTGGTATTACAGTAAGCAAAGAGACAGGGGTTGGGTGGAGGGAGGAATATAGTGTGTTGTCCATGTACATCTGTGTGGGAAGGTCAAAGAGATGAGCAACAGAATCAATAAACACACTGCTGGAAAGTAAAGTTCGACACCCTGCCTCTTTTCTGTAGCTACACGGAGGATGCAGTGAGCAGAATAAATGCTCTCCCTATGAAAACTCAACACAACTCAACAGTCCACAGCTGAGATAATTGCTGTTATAACACAGTTTCACTTGTTTTAGGTTTTCAACAAACAAGCATCTTGACGCAGAAAGTTCAGATCACATCTCCTGTTGTGCCCAGACAATAGCTGAGACAAATTAACTTGTTTTATGAAAAATACAAGACTAAATAAATAAATAAGTTTGTGATTAAACAATAATGAATGTGGTTTTCCAAAATCAATTTTTATCATGGAGCATCTGCTTTTTTGGAAATTTCATATAGTTTATATTGTCCAAAAGTATAGCATCAAAGCAATGGTGGTTTATAGGACATGTGTATTAGTATAGGATGTGTATTTCAGTTTGTTAACTCAAATTCAAATAGTATAATCTGTGCATTGTGTGTGTAATCATATTTTGTAGCAAAATATTGTTGCAATTATATGCGTGAAGGCACTTAAAGGCATTTTGACATGTCACAGTATGAAAAGCACAGGTATAAATAATGAAATTAATGATGGCTAAATTTCATTTAAGTGCTTCAGTTTCAGGGTCCTGGTTTTGTGCATGCTGGCTCACTGTCACACTGCCATGACATACTGGGACACTTGAATAAAACAGAGCCAACAATTTCAGACAAGGTTTTATTTTGTTTGCTTGTCCCAGTCATCTATATTTCCAGCCATGAGCACTTTTCTTATCAACCTTTTAGCTTCTGATTTATTTATTTATTTATTAACACCAAGCCTGTTTGTGCCTGTGCATCTGAAGAGAGAAAACACTTCAGAAGTCTTGTTATCATTATAAAATCCCAGAATAATTGCATCCCTTGTTGCTGTTTTGGTGTGAAATTCATCCTCTCATCACATTGCACTCCATACTGAACTTGAAAGAGGATGAGATACTGCCTCATTTTCTAATTAGTGTACACCCAGGTGGTAGATTAACCTATGATACCTTCTTTGAAACATGGCTCCCCATAAGATATACCTATGTGTGCATATATACAGGTTGGTAAAGCTCATTATCACACTAAGCCAGCTCTTCCGGCATTTTAGACTTGGCATAGCTATAGCCAGGGTTATAAATATACATGTGTTTATCATCCTTGACAAGCAAAGCACAACTAATCCCACCTCCATTCATTTTTGTTTAGTAGTGTGTAAATATAAGGCACTGTCTTGTGTGCATGTTTCTGAATTTGCATTTCTGTGAGAAGAAGCATAATGCATCTCATTTACTCCAAACTTCCTTAAGGAAAAATGTCACAATTCAGTGTGGGTGGATGGGTGGGTGAAGCTTGTAGTAGAGAAATGTCTAGGGATGGAAAAGTTTAAAAAAATTTGTTTTCCTCATTCTGTTCTAAATGTTTTCTTGTTCGTGCACAGAACAGATTATACTTCATAATCCTAGTGAAGTCTATTGGGAATGAGACTGTTTTGCACATTTTGGCAAATATATTTAAAACTATGTGATTCCAGCAGATGTTTACAAATCATATTCATCGCTCATGCATAGAAAATGGAGGACAATAACAAAGAATCCTCTTTGTTGTAGTGCAGAAAACACTGAATAGTACAAAAAGATAGATAAAATATATGGAAAAAGACTCTACACTAAATTAAATGCCAAATTGAGACAAATAACATAAAACATAAAGATTAGCAGCAGTCAAATGCACCATAAATTATGCAATATCCACCATCCATCTTTGTAATCTTATATTATCCCTGACAGTAAACTAGTCTAATCCACTATAGTTTCTCAGTGGCTGTGATGATATCTGTTTAGATGAAAGGTTGGATTATGGCACCTTTTTTGTGAAATCAAGCCCGACTACAGTATTTCAATTTGAATTGTAAATATCAAAAGTGTTTGATATTTGAAGTCTGGGAGATTGAGTCAGTATCATTAAGATTATGTCTGTAAACTCCTCACACTACAGGATCATTTGGTCAGATAATATATTCAGATCAGCCTCGAATCAGGAACAACTCTGCAAGTGTAGGGAGCAGCGAATCTGACCGAAATCTGCACAAGTACCAGCACTTGTATCTATCATGTTTGTTTCCCAACTGACTCATTATTCTGGATCAGAGGGACATCCGACTTTCCTTGCATACATTTACATGTCTACTAATTGTCTGCATACTACCCAATGGAACTGAAGTGTTTTTACCCCTGAAAGTCTGTCCAGAATTTGGCAGCAAAAAACCATCTAATTTCAAGTCATCCACATATTTAAAAATGTGTGGGTGAGCACAGAGGCTTGACATTCATTAGTGTATAGGGTGTATACAGTCCTGTGCTAGTAGTTCTTGCTAATTAGAGGAAACAGTTTCTCTCCTTACTGAAAATGATGAAAAAATCGTTCATCCAAAAATCTTATTTAACCACAGAAACACCCGGACTGCAACAGGTGAATCTGGATTTACACCAGAAGGATGAAGGGTGGGTGAGGAAGTTGTTGGAAATCATCTAGACTGCTTTATTTTCTGTGTTAATTGTTTTTTTCTGCTATTTATACTCCTCTTACCAGATATATCTAAACTGATTCTTAAAAAAAGTTGTAAATGGTTAGGCAATTTAATAAGGAAAATAAGTCAGAAAGTCACTGGTCCATATTCCATGATTTAAGATATAAGGTTGCGTATGGGAGGAGGCCTGGATAAATGTGTCTACAGAAACAAAATGAGAACGCTACTAACACAAAGAAAGTGCCATAATCACTGGGCCATATTGAAGTTGTGCATGCAAGGGGAGGGGGCGTTCACACAAAAGCATGCGAAGGCTAATTAGAAAAATCTGAAAACTGTTTTGGCCGTGTTGCAAGCACTTTTAAGTTGAACTTCAGTTTGGCAGTTTAATCTGTCATGGTGTCCGAGGTTAACATTATGATGTCAAAACAAAACCTCTGCAACATCATTCAAGCTTTATTCTGCACTGCACATCTGGTGAAAAAGTTACAGAGGATGCACCTCGCTTAACATGAACTTATCAGCTGGATTACTTTGATGCAGAAATAAAACTATGAATGTGAGGACTGTGAGGAAACATCTACAGTTATAAGGAGCTACCTTTTTATAGGATTTTCGAACCTGACTTATTGGCATTTATGTTTGAGGCCTGAATTTTTTAAACTGGTAATGTGCATCATCCACAGGATCGTACTTGTACAATTTATTAATTTCTGTCTATTTTTATCTAAAAACTGTGTCAAATCTGCAGTAAAACCTGTTGCAAATGTTGATCACATTCTGTTCATCAGTGAAGGAGAGACGCACATTTACATTTATAACCTATTATACTTTTGCACTCTCTTTTTGCTCCAAGAAACATTTCCAGCTCACTAGGGTGGATGTGTCAGACCATGGCTCAGATAGGTGTTAAGCTGTCAACAGCTCAAAACTACAGTGGCAGTATCCATGCTAAAATGCTTCATACTTCATACAATACTTTCCTTTGCTCTTGCAACAGCACACAGCTTCGGTGTAGTGGGCTTTGCACTGTTAAAATCTCCTCTTATTGTCTCCAAACAGCTCCTCGTTAACACTGGACTTATCTTCAGATCATGTCAATCTGTCAGAGCCTGCACTGCTTACTGCCGGCTTCTCTCTGGCTTAACACTGCGATGCACAAACAAACACGGATGTCTGGTCCTGCTGAAAAGCTCGGGGTTTTGTTGCTGGCTTGTTCACTGACTGAAACAGCTGCTCGAGAACTTTGTGGTTCCCCTCCACAAGGCTTCCAGCTGGGAACAGTATGTCTGATCTTCTTGTTATTTCAACTCTGTACCTGTGCAGAATCACAGACTATAGGGATGTTTTGAATAAGCAGGCTTTGCCAAAACATCCACATGTTCAATGACTTATGTCTTATGATGTCAGCAGTGTGATAGAAGGGATCTTTTCTATTCGCCCCAGTCTCTAACACACATCTATCACAGTTGTATTAAGTTACATAGTAACACCTAACAAGAAACAGTAAACCCCACATTTTCTCCCAGCCACTTTGGGGTCTGGAGTCTGTCTTTAAATATGTAAATTTGTGTTCTGTAATGTTTCTAAATCAAATAATGAAAAACAATATTTAGGTTTGACACCCATAGTAATTAGGGGTGTGAAGAAATAGATTCTACATTTTGCCTTCCCCCGTTCGTAGGCTATGCTGCTTCTCGTGGGTACCATACACCACCTCAGGCACCACTCTGTATATCGCAGGACATCCTAAACAAATAGATTTGAAAGAACATTAGAACCGCAGGTGAGGAAACTCAAGTACCCTTCTGCCACCTAGCCATTTACTTTCTTATTTAACAGTTCGCTCCCAATTGACTATTTATTAAGTTATTGTTATTCAATATTTTTCAAACTTTAAATTTGACCATATGGCCTTATGTAGCATTCACATGGATTCTGGTAAACTGGATGTCATTTTAGAGCAGGATGGTAAAATTATGTATTGCATTCCAGTATTAAAATATTGTCACTTTTTGCCTGGAATATACAACCAGACGTTACATAGCTTCCTCTCACAATGAGAAAACATGGGCGATCTGAAAAACGAGAAGCTAATAATTTTGGTTGGTAAACAAAGAATGCACCAAGTGCAGTTGTCCTTTCACTAACTGACCTATCACACTATATCCCATATATCTTTTTAAAGAAGAATAAAATAACAGCAGTCAAACCAATGATCTGTTGATCTATACAAATCAAGACTCAATAGTCTAACAATGGCATCGAGAGTCAAAACTAATCGTGGATTTGGAGAATTGTGACTAATACAACACATTCTCAATCCCAACCTGTCACATATGCTGCTTGGTAAAGACCAAGACCCCTTGGCATCACTTTTTAACACACCGGGTACCCTTTTAGTGACGTTATTGCATGTGCAGGGCTCTGCAGTAAAGCAATAATAAATGATAAATGGACTGTTCTTATATGTCACATTCACACACATTCACACACTAATGGCAGGCGCTACTATACAAGGTGCCAACTGATCATCAGAATGGAACTGACATTCAAACAGTAATTGGGAGCAATTTGGGGTTAGTACCTTGCGCAAGGACACTTTGCCATGCAGACTGGAGGAGGCTGCTAACAAACTGCCGAATCTGATCATTTGGACAACCTGCTCTACATCCTGAGCAACATCCTTGTGTTATCTGTGTGACATATGTCCAGTGCCACACCCAAAAAAATGAAGGTGAAGGGTTTCTTAGACAATACTGCCCAAATTTTTTAAATCATATTTTACATATCTGATGCATCACAATGACTTTCTGATATCAATGTCAGGTCAATGTCTTTACCAAACTGATCCAAACAATTTAAGCAGACGTGCAAGCAAATAAATTGGTCAGTAACGGTCTTACCCTCCTTTGTGTATGTCTGCAGATGGAGGCCTCTTGCTGGCGGTCCCATCCTGGTGGACCTTCTTATCTAATGACAGTGATAGTGGAGCATCTCGTACAGGCAGCCCCAGCACCAGTGTCTCCTTGGTAACCGAGATGGCCTCATCACCAGTCCGACCCATGTGCTTCTTGGCGTAGTCAAAGCCCTGGACAGGCTGGAAGAAAAAAAAAGATAACACACACACCAGGGGTCAGAAAACCCTTGATTTTTACATGCTTTGGTGTTTGTATTTCTAATTTATTGCAGAATATCTGAGAACGGGTGATTATAAAATGGGTTTTGCTTTCAGTTTGCCTGTTGGATTAGACCAACAGCAACTTGATGCATAAAAACAAGCAGCAGTTTTGAGGACATAAAGCACATGCAGAGACAGCAAAAAAGCAAGACAAGATACAGTAGTATTCCACAGTACAATACAGTTTTTCATCTTCACTACTGATAAGTTAGGGTAATGTCATTTATAACCCACAATAATGAGTAATGAGTGATAAGCAGCCACAAAACGTATAGCACTGTGTATGGTTCAAATGAGCATAGTATAGCAAACCATACCTAATGTTGGCCAGAGAGCATCATATTGGTATGGAGTCACAAAATGAATTTGACAAAGCACACAGCAGCAGACAGATGAAAGAACAAAAGTGCATCATCTTAACTGGACAAAATGACACTTGCAGGTAAGTTTTTAAACTGTCTCAAGAGTTGCAGTTGACCAATTAGCTGACTAGCCTGCAAACTGATGTTAGCAGAGCACTTTGCCCCTGTGGTGTTGTCGGATCAAAAGTTGACTTTAGTAGAAAAGCAGTCGGCAGTCATTTAAAGCCTGTGGCTCTTGTTTTTTCTAGCTGTCTAGTTGTCAGTCAGTGTGACCGTCTGCAGTGGAGTTACTGCTTTACACAAAAACAGTAATAATAATAAAAGAAATGATTTGATTAGCTGTATGAAAACACGTTCTCTATGGGAACAGCATTCTGTTCAGGTTAGTGCAAACATAGGGGACGCCATCATGAATCCAAAAAAAGATTTTAAAATATAAATTTCTGTCTTTTGGGTTCTATTGTTGACATTCCATTTGCTGGAGCAAAAAACAAATAAATTTCATTTCATTTCATACTAACCCAAACAACTGTGGGATGTTTGGGAGCGGGTAAGAAGAATAATCTGAAGCTGGGGTTGCAGTATGATGTAATACTGTTCTTCAACAGACTTGAGTGGAATATTCTTAAAGCTGTGGTCCTTGATGAGGACGACAACAGTCTCTCTCTCTCTGCGACTCATCTTCTCAAAGACGCCCCTCCAACCCCTCGCGGCCCAGGGCAGAGCACCCCAAGCTTCAGAGGCATTTACAATATCTAAACAGCAGAATGAGAGGCTAGTACACCAAAGTCCCCCCTCAAAAGTTATTCTCCACTGATTGTTATTTGCCACTCGATAAAATTACTTTTCCAGCACTAGCAGTGAGTGGGCACTCTGTTTGAAAAAAAGCTGGAGTCACCATCATGACATCCTTTACCAACAATTTAAGCATTTTTCGTTTAATGCGTCAAAGGCTGGTTGGGCTGATACTTATTTATTTTATTTTATTGTAGTTTTGAAATTGACTGACGTAAATTCTGTTTTAAGACTTATTTTCTGCAGTAGCAGTTAACACTGTATCTGACATGCGGTTGAGATCCTGAAGCATAAATATCTAGAATCTAAGTTGGCGGTGGGACTGTTTATTTAAACGGGTAATAAAACCACTCCAAACCATTTTTAATTAATAAAACAACAACAACAAATGGATTAAGTCTATTCTAACTCCAATCTGATCAACAGCAAAGTTCTTTCAAGTGTAGCATTTAGATTTTCAGCTCAGCTGTCAGAGTTGCTTACAGCTAACATGACATGGTCTCCTGAATATTAAAGAAAAACCTCCAGATAAGTGTTTCTCCCATTCCTGATAAGGAAGGTAATTGGATGGACATCCCTCCCTGAACCAGTTTTTTATCGGTCTCCAAACACCACGGCTGGCATAATGAAAAAGTTGAAAAAATAAATAAATTAGAATGCTTAACAGCACCTTTGAAGTCAGGGGTTTTGGCATTAAGAGACAAAGAGAGAAAAGCAGCCGCAGACGCATTTTGCTAAGCCTCGGAGGCCTGGACACATTCTTTGTATATCTAAATGCCTTGCAATTTACTGAATAGGGAACGAGAGAAAAAAGGAGAGAAAGACCCTTTTTAGGTTACACAACAAAGCAGTCGAAACCCTGATTATTTTTTTTGCCTCCCCTTTTCTATTTTGAGCGGCTCTAAAATGGGACGCCTAATGCATTTGATGATGCATGCTAAATTCTGAGTGCATGTGAGGTTGGGCAGCGTGGGCATCCGGCTGACGGCGTTGTTAATAATTCATCAGTCATACACACCGCTGTGCCATCAGTCAGCTCCACCACACGTGGCTGCAGCTGTGGATGAGTGTCAGGAAATTGATACATGCTCATATAGAACACACACACACACACATTTGAGAAAGAGAAAGAGAGAGAGTGGGGACAGGCTCTCTCACCACGGCATGAATGTATGCATTGAGTGTGCGTGTCTGTATGCATCTTCTATCCGCTGAAGTGATGTATGATGACAGTTGTGACTCTATCGTGTGAAAGATGTATGGCGAGTGCAAAGATTCATTTGCCTATGCTGTTCACAGGCTGAGTGCGAGTTACTCTGTGTGTGTGTGTGTGTGTGTGTGTGTGTGTGTGTGTGTGTGTGTGTGTGTTTATGACGAGCAAACAAAGGGCAGAAGACGAGGGAGGTGGTGAATTAAATGTGCTGTTTCAATCATATCCCTCTTGCAATATGCATTATGCGTATGGATTATTAAGTAACAAACATTAGATGTGTTGTTGAACTGAGCCACACTGCACGTTGACAGTAAAAGCTGTCATTCAGTGGCTGATGGGTAATGGCTGGTCATGCATGGAGACAGTATGGATTCTCAGAAATGACAGGGCCGAGGGGTGTAACCTTGAAACGCATGCTTGACATTTCACGACTCGTGTTTTACCACACTGGCTTTCTCTTTCTGTCTGTTCTTTTCACACTCACAGAAGCTTCTTCCCTATTTGTCTCTGCCTCTTCTTCCTTTCTAATTCTCCGTCTCTTTTCCCTATCGTCACAACCACCACTCGCTCTCGTCCACTGTCCACTGACAGCGTGTTGACTTAACAAATGGCCATTTTTAATCTTCTGCGATCAGCTCAGTTTAATGAAGACTTCTGCTGCGGACAGGACTTGTGGTACGGCGCGAGCCTCTGATCAGTCTGTCAGAGATGGATGTCGATTTTTCTCCACATCCATTTAGAACAGTGACGGAGGAAATGAGTAGGAGAGGAGAGAGGCAGACGGCGACACAAGCACTGACCGTTTCTTTTAGACGTCATGTGTAGTGACAGTGAGCACGACCCCGCTGCACCAACAAATTAACCACACTTATTTTCCTTGCGTGCACTATCAAACAGAAGCGTCTCTTCTTGTCTAATTTTAACTCAGAGCAACAGCCAACAGCAGCTTGATGAGGTACAGCAGATGGATGAGATATGCTCTAGTCCCCCTGCGGCCATATTGATTTAAATTCAGCTCTAGCAGGACGAATGGCGGAAGCGCACCACAGAGCTGCATGCTAAAAAAAATATCCCAAAGACTTGGTACATTTAAGAAGTAAATAAAAAACACAGTAGGGTAAACTGGGCTGCACATCAGCATGGTGCTGCACCAGTTAGATACACTCCTCCTGGGGCAGGTTGAGACATGATGCAGCAAAATGCAAAATACCTCGAGTCCTTTAAATGGCAGCCAATGCATTGTACTGTCATTGAACACATTACAAATGAAAAATAGATTGCCTCTGGTTTTGCTGATTCCACATCTATTGTACTCCACATGGAAGCGGGCTATCTGGGGCTTTCACGCCTATGTAAGAAGGCACGGAAGGAGTAAAAGCCATTTAGAAGAATTTTCTGGCTACACAGCAGACATGCAGAGTGATGAAGGGAGCCGGACTCTGCAGAATCACTCTTTAATGCTTAAACACACATGCAGACCTAATATAAACCCCAGTATTGATCAGCGGCTTTAGCTTGTCCTGCGTGGTGACTGATAGCTACAGTTGGTTTGGGAGCAGATCACACACACATGCCTACACACACTCACACAGTAGATCAACTTGATTAGACTTGAAGTCTATTATTCTGCTTAGGTCTGATTAGTATTCATATGACCTAGACTGGGCCTGTGGGTTTCTAACACAGACCCCATTTACACCTGATATGTTAATGCAAAGTATAAAGCTAAAAGGAGTAGCATGCATGGTTCGGATGCCATTATCCAGATAACAGGTCACATGTTAATATCAGGTGCAAATGGGGCCATAAAGATTAAAAGACAGGTTCATATTTTTTCAAATCTGTCCAGTGTTTCCCATGTGTTTATTTATTTGTGGCGGCCTGCCACAATATCAACACTGACATATTGATTTTCGTTTTTTTTACTAGGCCTATTTAAAATCTATTTAAAAAGTGATTGCAGAGCTGCAGGCAGCGCGTATTCGTGCAGCACATCCTCTCGCTCGTCCCTCTCTATTCCTCTCTCTCCCTCTCCCTCATGAACACAGCTGCACAAATCAGTCCATCACAACGCTGTCAATGTGAGAGAACTAGCTTAAAAAGTTATTAGCAAGCATGTAAGGAGCCTAGCTAATTAGGAGAGCTAAGTTAATGTTAGAATACAGCTGGGTTTTCGAGGCTAACACGCTGTATATAGCTGGTAGTCAATATCGACAGCCCACCCCCCCATGCGTCACAGTTACACTGTCATTCTGTGGGAAACACAAAACCAAAGGAATCAAATCAAGCAGGTATCTTGCAACATTGCAGTCTATACAGTATGATATTCCCTTTTCTTTGACTATCCCTCCACTGCACATCAGCACATTTCCATTGGAATGTGTACTGATTTGTTCATAAAACTCCTTTAAATGTTCGTATGAACTGACAAGTACCAGTAGCTGCGTCTGAATTGCCCGTTGCAAACAGGTAGGTTCAGTTCACCGTTCACCAAAAACACACACTCTTTTAGAGAGCACAACACTGCTTTGCATATCCAGGTGACTTGCTTAAGATGTAATTGCTACGTCCTCACTTTGGGTCCTTTGTTCCATGTCATCCCTTCTTTCACCTCATTTCCTGTCATATCTCTCAGTGCCTAAGAAAGGCAAAAACTCTGGACAGTAGGACAAAAAACAGCCCATATTCATGTGGGTACGTGAGTCTTGTATTAACATAGTAACAATGTGAACCTATGCTTTAATCAACTGTTTAACTGTAGTTTGCCACAAACTAAATCCCTGTGTGAAATATTTATCTTATTTTGCTCAAGCATGCTACTGCTTGGGATTGGAAGAGGGTAAATAACGCTGTGGATAAGAACAGTGAATGTAGCCTCACGGCACATCACTGGTGAGTTCACATTTCGGGACTCTTTAATATTTGATGTGCTCTTTCATAAAACATAATATTAAACGTTTACAAACCATTGTGAAAACAAACAAAACCATGTAGCTTAGAAATAGAAATGTTAATATAATACTACAGTGTAAGGAGATACAGTAAAGGCATTATGTACATATATTTGGAGTGTTTACACCCTGCTGTGCTGTTTCACCAGCTCTATTACCCACCAAAAATGTCGTGTCTACCCATCCCTCCATCCTTCACTCGCCTTACTTGCCTCTCAAGGGATGAGGACGAGAGAGGCTGGATCAAAATAACCTGCAAATCAGCTGACATGCCCCACGACTGCAACAGTAACCACAGACACGGCCTCTGCATGGTCCTTTGTAATTCAAAGCGTTTTAGCTGCTCGGCTTTGAGTCTAACCGTGATAAAGTAGCTGCCATAATTCAGTGGAGAACCTCATATAAAAACAGAATTGGGTTGGGGGTCCGCGTAGGCTTCCTGCTGAGCCACTGTGGGATGAGGGTGGCTTCATCTGAGAGGATAAAAGGACTGGCTTGAAAGGGAAAGGAACTGGCAGAGAGGCGGTCTAGGCTGATGACACAAGCTTGAGTCACTTTTTATGGATGCTACGAAATAAAAATAGATTGGTTTGGTTCGCAGCTGTTGAGCTTCCTTTCTGCTCTTCATGTTTATGACCCCCGGTTAAAACTGGCTTCTTCTGGCCGTCAGAATTGAGCTCATTTGCCTGTTTTAACGAGCTAGCCTCTCCTTGTTAATTCAGCCAATTGACTCAAGCCAAAACAATTTAAATCTTAAGGAACGTGCCTGTGAATTTAACACCCCTATTATGTTTTTTTCACCTTTCCTCACTGCCCCCTCCCCCTCCCCTCTCTCTGTCTACTGATGTCCCACAGACAATGAGGATGTTGAAATAAGTCATGTCCACAGCACAATAGCCACATGCAAAAAAATTACCCAGCAACAACGACAGGCAGCACATACAGAAATCAGCAAACAAAGCAGGAACTAATTCATTCATCCATACAGTCAGTAATCCACCCAACCAGTGTCTTAGTGAATACCTGGTGGTGGTAACTGCCCTCCCTTCGATATGAGGTCTAAACAGGGAGAGAGTCAGAGGGACACGGTCAGGGAGGAGTTAATATAATAATGGAAGAGAACAGGAAATGACAATATAGGATAGGAGAGAATGCATCCAGTCTTCATAGTTTGGCCATCAATGAGTTAATAGTGTAATATTAACAGCTGCAATCTGGGAAAATCATGGCATTGCTGAAAAGAAGTGCGACTAGGCGAGAAAGACGAGCAGTCAGGCGGTCAGATTTTTATTGATATGGGCCACAAATCTGTGGATTTATTTACATTTGGTGCTCTGGTGACTATAAGTACACACAGTTACCAATTATTAACAAAATTTTGGGTGAGCTCACATTTGGTTTTACCTGAAAATAAAGTAGTTAGATAATCTGGCTAACTTGTCTGACCTTATTTCTTGCCCGTCAGTCTTTGCTATCACAGTGTCACACTGTTCCCTGTTTTACTCATCAAACAAAAGTATGAAAATAAGAGTCAAGTTGTAACCAGCTATATTAAGGAGTATAAAATATATGTGTTGCCTACTTTGATGCAAATTTGATGCAATTACTATAATCAGCAATGCAAATTAAACTTCAACTAAAGTCAAAACGGGTATCAGGAAGCTGGTTACAAATCACAATTTGCAGCTACCCATCCAACACCAGTTACACCATGTTACTGCTTCACTTTTGAGTACATTTTGATGTCAGCCTACAAAAGTATAATTGCTCCATCAGGATAGTTGCCAGGATCTTTAGAAAACACTGTACATATATTTGTAGAGATTTTTTTTTTTTTTTTTTTTTTACTACTGCTCAGTTGACAAGGGAATATTTTACTGATGGTCAAAGCTTTTAAATGTTCTTTGATCAGGAGACAGATATGTTTTGTGCATCGGTTTATTCATAGCATTAGGGAGATTCCTTTGCTGGGTATCAAACATTTTGCAAACAGCTTGGCCTGAAGAAATGTGGTCAACAGAGGGGGGTTATTCAGTGCTTGCGCAGCCACTGACAGGAATTCTCACTGGAGGGGAAGTCTAATCGTGATAACAAATGTGACAAACACTTTAAGATTATGGAATTCTGAACAAAGGCGTGCCGCTTCAAGAGCCTCTTCAGAACAAACGAGGCTGGCCAGCTTATTGCTTGTTTACCACTTCACTGACTGCAGTGACACAAGCAGCTGTTCTGGCGTCACTGCACTGTGTCCAGGAGAACAATCTCACCCGCTCAAACCAGCTGGTAGCAATCTATTACACACATGCTCATGTCAAATGATCGATTTTTATTTAACCTCAAATGAGGTGATGTTGAGTGAACGCTATTATTGTGAAAGGTCCACATTACCCTAAGGTTCACTTCCAGCACAGTGAGCCCTGCCCTTTTCTTCTCGGCCGATTAGTGTTCACAGCATGCATGATTAGCAATGACCACAGGCTATTGGGCAGCAAGAAAACCAATGAGTGCGGCCCGCACAGATAGGATTCCATTTTTCTGACCTGAAGGAACAACTTAACACAGACAGTTTGCTGTGCGATATGTCACTCCTTTACAACAGGGTTATGTAGTCGTTGTTTAAATTGCGCTGTAGAATTGGTTACAGGGACAGGTTCAGGTGAAGCAGTGATGTTTTAATATTTTGGGTTGAGACTTTGCTCCCCAAGAGTCAGCCAACAGCTGATTTCTATTAATAGTAGAAGGAGGAAGATGAACAAGAAGAACAAAGGAGAAGAGAAAAAGAAGATGGAAAGGCTTACCTTGGAGCGGGATTTGAAGGTCCTGAAGGCACCAGTTTTGAAGATGACCCTGTTCCTCTTACACAGAATGAAGGCCACCATGCCGATCACCACCATCAACAGGAAGAGTGGTGTCAGAACGGCCATGATCCACAGGTTGCTGGGCGGCGTCTTTACCACAGCTACAAACATATACATCTTATTCATTAGTATTTGATTGTGCGTTCAATTTCTCCTGAGCAGTTTAGCTGCTAAGAGACCCTTCAGTGATTACAGAGCGCACAAGACAAGCAGGAATAAACACACTACAACACTTTTTTCAGATCGGGTTGTAAATGTTTAGCACTAGGCTTGAGAGAATAGTTCGACAAATATGGGAAATAAGTTTATTTGCTTACTTGCCGAGAGTTAGATTGACTGTATGCTGTGTATGGAGCCAGCAAGTGGTACAGCTTAGCTTAGCATAAAGACTGGAAGCAGGGGGAAACAGCTGGCCTGGTTCTGAGGTTGGAAAAATCCACCTTCTTGCACGTATAAAGCTCACTAATGAACACCTTATGTCTCATTTGTTTAATCTGTTCAAAGGAGGATGTAATTTCCACTGGGGATAGGGGGGCATGCTCCCCTCAGTTTTCAAAATCCTAGTTTTGTCACCCTTTTATTTACAGTTTCAGTTAGATTTAAGGCTCGTGCAGACTACATGACTTGCTGTCTTGTAACATGAGTCTTGCAGTCGCTGTGGTGTTCACACTACGTGAATGATCGCTGACAGGGGGTCACACACTACACCAGCTGACAACGACTGTCACCCGACAACTCTATCTGGTCTCCAAACCACGTTTTGTCACGAAATTACACGAAACTAAACATTTTAAAGATAAAAATTATAAAGACAAAGAATATGGGTGGAAGAATGGGTTAGCAAACGCAGGTAGCAGGGATTGTCGGTACTACAGAGAGAGCTGGAGATGCCAGATATGCGGCTTGCGTCTGTGATCATTTGCCCCCGATCACAGTCCGACTCTCAGCGAGCTTGGCGACTGGAAAATAGGGCCTAAAATGGTGTAGTGTGAACCAGGCTTTACAGTACTCACTTCATAAATCTCTCTAAACAATATTTTCTTACTGTCCATCTGTCGAAATCCCGATGAGAGCAAAGAGGAGCTGATAAAAATGTGGCCTTCAATTAATACTGTACAGAAATTATATGAATGATTTGCAGACTTTTTGAAGATTTCCTATTACTAAGTTAGGCTTACTGTCTTCTGACTGCCTTCTAGCTTCATATTTAGCACACAGACATGAATCAAAGCAAATAAGAATATTTCTTTCTTTGAGCTCAGTTTGCCAAAGAGATGTGTTTTCATTTTCAGGGCCATCAAGGTAAACTAAATTAATTTTCCAAGAACATTGTGTTCAGTTTCCAGCTTGTGCATTGTTAGGAGGATCTGTGAAGGGCGCTGATTGTTTGTGGTATCTGTTCAGTTTGTTAATTATGCATTCCGGGAAATGATAGGGAGAAAAGGTGAGAGGGAACACTTTGTCCTATCCAGCAGCTACAGTATGAACATCCTGCTGAACATTTTCTGAAAACCATTTAATAACAAATATACACAACTTCAGTCATCTGAGTTAACACCAGATAAGGGAGGAAACACAATCTTTGATTTGATTTTGGGAGTTAATGCTTCATTGGATGAACAGGGAATTATGGAAATTTATTGAAATTTATTTAAAAAATAAAAAAAACATATTCTAGCCAATGTCACGGTAAGCCAAGACTGTTGCGCTTGAGTTCAGCAGATAAGTCATAAAGAGCATTTAAACTGGGAATGTTTGTGGCAGTGTGCTGTGCCTACAAAGGCTGCTGAATCAGAAATGTGCTCTATGACTCGACTGTGGGTCACAATATTACATATGTGCTAATAGCTAAATGCAAAAACTAAATCTGTGTACATACAGTATAGTCTGTGTGTAAAAATGTAAATATATGTAAATATAAAAAGAGTTCCCTGTCATTGGAGTTAAAGGAATAATTTAACATTTGGCAATCCAAGAGCTACATGAGGAGATTGATACCACTCACATATCCATTCAGTAAATATGCAGCTAGAGCCACCAACGGGGCAGGTGATACATGATAATGCATTATATAACACTGTACAGTAAGAGAACAAGCTTACGTTCAGCCTGCACTTGTACAAAGTATCCCAGTGTCAGAGCCATGGTCTGGGAGTCCAGACTGCTGAGGGTCTTGGCAGCGCTGGCTCCAGTGACAGGGGATCCGTTCAGCTGGACGTAGTATGTCATCTCTGCAGGGTTCTTGGGACCGGGCAGTCGACGCATGCTCACCATCTGAGGACAAAGAAAGTGTCCAATATGTCAATCATTCTGTAAAAAAAGTTTTAAGTTTTAAAAAACTTTAAACACACTTTAAAAGTGTTTAGATGGCTTTGAATGGTCTACATACACTTACAAATGCATTACCATATCGTATTAGCTCTGGACTCCTTTGTTCAAAAGAATGTCACAGACATAGCTCATTTTAAAGAAACAAAATACCAGCACAACCTATCATCTATTGCCAAAATCCTTTATCTCTCCACACTGATTAAAAATCTCTGTCGTATCTACAGTGGCCCAATCAAAGTTCTGAATCGTCTAGGCTGCTTTGATCATGGCGAGCCATTTGCTGCAAGATGACTGCACTTGGGGAAGACACTCGAGGATAACTGAGTCACTTGAAAATCTCAATTTCCTTTCATCACACATCAAACACCTTTTTTTAATTTGACGAACACATCTCACGGTTTAATCAAGTCTAGTAATTTGATTTTGTCATAAAAAGAAGGGATGTGTTTTTAAATGGCTGGATGATTTCTCCCCCTTGCTACATTTTCTACCCCCCAACACCCCCCTGATAAGCCTCTCCCGCCTCCAATTCTGCAGCCATAAAACTGGTCATCTGTGACTTCCCATAAAAACTTGAGGGTGTGTACAGAACAAAGCCCAGGAGGAGTCAATCACTGGCTTAATTTGCACACAACAACAACACCGGGCAGGGAGATGACACATACAGAAAATATCACACACACAAACCGTTGTACGTCTGTGCTTATGAGAACCTTCAGTTCAAGTACACTAAATCCCTCATGTTCATCCCAAACTACTACCTCAGTCTAATGTTATCTTGCCTGTTTTTAAATGACCATATTCGGCGAGAACGATACCAACAAATCAAAGACATGATATTTTCCAAAGCATACTGTGCTGTGAGTTTGTTCATGGTTTTCATTGGCAGCATTGGTTTCATTTCAGCTGACAATGAAGATCTACTTGCAGATTTGAGGCCTGTTTTAAAAAAATTATAATCCATATGAATTTATTTGCATATTTAGTTATTTATGTTTGTTTGAAGGTTTAATATTGTGTGGCATAGGTTTATGAACTCCCCTTCTTGATGGATTTAAAGATAGCAACCTTTTTCATGCAACAACTATTTGAGGTATGGCTACAACTAACAATTATTTTCATTATCAATCAGTCTGCTAAAAAATTTCTCAATCCATCAATAAATACACAGGATAATTTTTAAAGCCCAATGATATCAAATTGCTTGTTCTGTTCAACCAACAGTCTAAAGCCCACAAATTTCAGTTTGCTATCACATCAGACGAAGAAAAGCAGCAAATTCTCAAAATTAAGACGCTGGAATTAGGGAATGTTTCGCATTTTTGGCTTGAAAACAAACCTCAGGGACTGATCAATTATCAAAATAGTTACCGTTTCTGTAGATCAACTACTCACTGCAGCTCCAATTGCCTATATCAGTTTTTCAACGCATGCTGATTTCTCTTTCTATCTTATGTTTCGGACAACTTCCTTTCTGATCACTGCAGGCAATTACAAATATAAACAAATATAAAATCCTGGATTTTGGAGCTTTCTTCAACACATCACCAAGGAGAGTTTTCAAATCTGACCCAGCTCAGACGTGACAAGATGGTGCTGTCCACGGTAGGACTGCAACTAATGATTATTTTTGTAGTCGACTCATCTGTTAATTATTTATTCGATGAGTCGACTAGGCACGATTATTTTTGTCCCCCCCAAACCCTAACCCTAATTAAACCATTTAACTAATAAACTTCAAAATGTCTGAAAAGGACCATAAGAGTGTTACCACCTGCGAGGTGCAAGCAATTCTCGGCAGGCATCATGCAGAATTGGTTCACAACACCGGCACCGCTAACCTTGCGGGTGCTTGTGGAGCTTCTCAGCCCCTAAAACTTTTGTAAAACTGCCAATATCAAGTTCTACACAGTTGTTTTCTTCGCCTCAAAACCTCTCAAAAGTGTGTGATTAAATAGCGTACAAAACTTGTAAAAACAAAAAACCTTCAGCTATTTCTCCACTTCTTACTACTTCTTTGTGAGTTACAGTCAAGCAGTCATGGCAGACAGCGCCCCCAGCACTTCCTGTAGTGCATTGCAGTTAGAAATAAACAACCAGAAATGTTGTTAAAAGAAGATTGCTATCTCTCCCTAAAACAGCATCTTTGTAACGTTGCGTCGGCAATGAAATTTCACCTCAGCGAATTTTTATAATCAACGTCGTTGATTACGTCGACTAATCGTTGCAGCCCTAGTCCACGGTGCTGAATGTGAAGCTGGCTTGAAGTTTTATACCAACATTTAGTGTCCTCGGAGGATTAATCGGACTGACCCGGTGATAACTAACTTTTAATTGTAGGCCAGTGTGACATCTCCACATTTACTTGATGTATTGGCACACAACCTGGGACAGTGCATAGATGGTTTACAGAGGATGAATCCTGATTGGTCATCTCCAATTTGAACAAAACTATGTTTATGACCATGGTAAACATTACACCTGTAGGCTCTCACTGTTTTGTATTTTTGCTCCTGCTAAATCAACTTGTGTTGTGTTCTCTACGGACTACTGGAAAAATCACAGTGGATTCGACTACATCACACAAAATTCACTTTGACAGAATATGCAGGTGATTACCTCTCCGATTGAATGATTGATTGATTGATTGATTGATTGATGATTGGTTGGTTTATTTTTCATGCTCTAAAGTTGAAATAATATCATAAACTATCACCCTGCAGATGTGAAAACTGTTAAAATAGTTTCATTTGGAAAGATGTGCAGACTGGTCCTTTTAAAGCAAAGAAATGTACAAGCATAAAGAGAATCTGCCATCGCTACCGCTGGTATTACACACAATGACACACAAAAATCCTATTCGCACCTACCTGTACAGTATAACCCCCCACGGTGGTGGCCCGCCGAGATCGTGCTGCCCGAGAGCCCTGCCTGCCGGCCACCAGGAACAGCTCAGCCAGCCGCTGCTCCATCAGGCTGGCGAAGCTCTGGTAGTTGGCCTCCAGGGAAGAGCTGTCCACATCCTGGATCACTGTGAGCAGAGACCAGAGAGGACAGAAGAGGGATTTAGGGAGTAAAGAGGCGTTCAGGCATGCAAAGAGGGGCGAAAGAGGAGGCAGGTGAGGGGATGGTGGGGGGGGGGGGGGGTTGATAACATGAGGCAGGAGAAGAGCAGAGAGAGGGAATGGGAAAACGGGTGATAGGAGGGAATGTGTGAAGACGGAGGAGGTGAGAAAATATCAGAGGAAGATCATTTCAGGACAGTATTGATATTGAGGAGAACAAGGGAGGAGAGAGGAAAAGGAGATGAGTGGGATATTAGACAGCACTGGATGATCGTCCTTTTCATTTAAAAGCTGCTCATCCGGAAACTTTTATTACAGCGTCATCTCAAGCACACACACGCACACAGAAATAAACACAAACACATATCGATGCACACACACACACACACACACACACAGGTGCTTGCATCAACCTTGCTCCTGAGTGTTTTTCTTACTAGAGGCTATAAGTGAGATGGAGCAGTGGACACACTTCACACACACACACACGCTTCAGCATCATTCACGCCCGGCCGTGATGTGATGTGAAGTGATCTCTCCCTCTGCCCCAGTCAGGAAGCTGTGAATTATACATCAATAGGTTTTCTCAGGAACAGAGCGGCTAAAGACACTCTGAGCACAGAGAGCACGGGCAGGCGGGTGAGGGAGGTAATACAGAGGAAAGGACAATGTAGAGAGCACCTCTATTCTGCTGAATTGCACAACAGCGAGCACCGGGGCTTTTTACTAACTACTGTTTGGTCCAATCGATGCAGCTCCTGATTACCGCTGATCACCCAGTTGCACTTTTTGTGTGTGTGCAAGAGCAATTTACCTGTTATCACCCAATAGTTCTTGGTTGCCATCGACGTGTTGAGATTATGGTATTCAAGGGCTGAAGAGAGAAAGAGAGAGGAAGTTAAAGGTTTTTGCGTTTTTTATAAAGCCTTCTGCAACACCACCTGGATTTGGAGGACCACCAGTTAATAATGCATTTCCTACATTTCACACATAATTCCCTGCTCACCACTTTCCAGCTTTTTACACAACTTTTAACCCTAACACAAATTTAGCTTATATACGATTTTATAAACTTTTCATAACATATGGGTTGGATTAACCAGTTACGGCCCCTGAATTATGTTTTACATCTACATAATAAGGAAACAAATAAAGTGACATTGTGTTGATACAAAACATATCTGCAAAATGTTGACTGACAATTTATTTTATTTGCTTTCCAACAACATTCACTCCTACTCGCAACTAAAGCATGATTAACACTTATCATTGCTATGTTTAGGCACTAACATTTAAAAACAACCCTGTCATCAGACCCCAGTCTTTGGTGTCAAAGCGCTCTAATTCCATCCATCACAACCACCTCTCTGCAACTTCAGTGTGGTACAAAACACGTTTCCTTCATGGGAAAAATGTTGCCACTGAACAAACAAAACCATGGAACAACTATGTTTTCCTCAATATGAATCAGTAATTTCTGGAAGACAGAGTTACTGCAGACTACACATGGAAGTCATTAGAGACAAAATCTGAGGTTGTGTGTGTGTTAGGGCTATCCCCTAAACATCATTCGAAAAGTCCCTGAGTCAAATCCCTGTACTTGTATTTATTTTTTATTTGTTTAATTCATTGTCATTATACACAGAACACTGCAGGATAACAGCACAGCAGTCTATAAACTTTTACAAACAGAGTCTTGTCTTAGAAACACTTAAAACTACAAAACTAACTGTATTGGAAACAGAGAAGGGTGATGGAAACGGAGGGCAGCATGACGCTGGTACATCCTGTTCTTCTGCTGTTCAGATCACAGATAGTGAACAAAGGCATTGACGTAAAACTCATGTAGGCTGTAATATGAGTTTAGTGTGGGGCAGCTGGTGCAGATGCAGATGATCTGGACTGTACTGTAAAAGTAAATGTCTGTATCTGTATAGCACCTTTCTAGTCTTTGTGACCACTCAGAGCGCTTTTACACTACATCACACTCACCATTCACCCACATTCATACACTGGTGGAACAGCCACCAGGGGCAATTCGGGGTTCAGCATGTTGCCCAAGCCACTCCTGGAGTGAATAATATATTTATGATTATAAGTCATTAGAGATACTAAATTACGATCACGACTGGCCCCCTGTAGTCAGCTTGCTCATCAGGTGAAAACAGTGTTGTGACAGCTTTAACCAGAAAAGTGTTAAAATCAGATATGTTCAATCAAAGCATAGGTGTTACTACTACTATTTACAATGGGTCCCCGTAAGCATAACAGTGTAACAGTGAGTCAGCATGCACAATATTAGGAGCAGATTAATGTAATTCATTTTATAATTACACCTGTGCTTTTCCTACTGCGACATGCCAACACATATACACATATTTTGAGAAAAGGTCAAACTATGACAAACCTATTTACCCACAGTGAGACTTTTGGGGCCCCTGGGAGCCTAGAAGTCCATATGCCCACTTAGAAATCTTTGGGTAACCTTTTTATGCCCAGGTTTAGAAATCAAGGAAATTTGAACGCAGTTTGAAAAAGAATCTCCTCAGGTGGTACATTCTGTCGGAACGGAGTTTTGTGGAGGCATTCAGGACGTGACTCCACTTTCATGTTGATCGAGGTATTTCCGACACGTGCTAAAAAATTTATTTGGAAATTTTGATTTGTCTTAGTCAGACTGCTGAAGCCTCATATTAGCTGTAGCTGAACTTGCAGAGAATGCAGTTATGCACATAACAAAGATGTGAGTTGAAAAGGGGTAAAACTTAAAAATGTGCTAAATATGCCTTTTATTGGTGTATTTTAATACTGCTGATTCAAGTTTTGACGTGATTACTTTGATCAAAAGCCTGTTAGGGATCCATGGAAGCCATGAAAATGTGACAGATGTTTCTGTCCTGCAGAGACAGATCTGCAGAGGAGGAGATTTTTAGCAGTGGCCCTTGGCACGGATGATAAAATCCGATTAAACACAGCTTGTCAGGTTTCATTACCAACCTTTACTTTCTGACCTCTCACTGTCTACTTCCTCTATCCATCTACACCAGCTCTCACTTTCTTTCTGCCTGCGTGCCTCTGTACCTGCCTCATTCTCTACCTGTTTACCTGTCAGCTTCTTCATTTCCTAAAATGCCTGTTCCTTTCCGTTCAGCCGACTGTCTCCCTCTGTCTACTACCCATCATTGCTCCCTCAGTCCATCGCCCTCTTTCTGTGTCCTATTCATCTGTCAACCTATCTCTCCTTATTTCCCATCTGCCTGTTTCACCATCTGTCTCCACCTAACTCCTCCGAGCTGGCAGTCTGCCGAGAGTTGTGTTCAGCTTGAGTCAATGGCGCTGCAGCAGTGGTAGCTGTTAATACCAGCAAGTGTTTCTGCTATGCACTCTGTCTGCCTGTCTGCTGCCGCCTCCCTGGTGCCTGTACGTGAACAAATTCACATTCACTGAGCTTTCTTCAACTTCTTCAAACAAGCTCACATGAACACTTAAGACATACAGCACTGAAGTGTTAAGGATCAGACACATTCAGTACCCTTCAGAGAATCATTTCAATGGGCCAACGAACTATTCATTTTATTACCACAGCAGCTGGAAACTTTTGTTGCATAATTCCAAAAGAGAGAGAAGTAAAAACCTCCAATCGAATTATCAGCAAATGTAAGATGATATGTGTTTTGTCCTACTGTCAACAAATCCAGTGACCAGACCTAAACCTACAATGAATTGTCTGTCTCTCAATACTTTGACTTCTCAACCCTGTCTGTGGCACTCAGTTTCATAGTTTCATTTTTTAAAAGGCTCTAAAATTTACCAGCTGAGCACTGCAGTTTTTAGCAAACTCAAACAGGAGTAAACAACAGGAGGGCATTTGTTGCGCACTATTTTCAGCCATGAAATAATACACATTTGGTGCTCTAGGGAGTATTTCCAGCAGAAGGCACTACTTGGATTGTTAATAGTTGTTTTTGTCTTTTCATGTCTTTCATTTGTTTAAGAAAAATAAAATATATAGTGTAATATAGTTTTTTCTGCTCTCTCTCCATCACTGATTTAAGATAGATTGAACATGTGAAAACGGCACATTTGCTTAGCAGTTGGGTAGGTCTTGTCAATGAAAAAATAAAGTGATGTGTATGTTTTAAGAGCTCAGTCTTAAGTGTGACCACAAGAAGCCGCAAGAAAGCCTCAAGATTATGGCTGAACGGGCTTGACTGACGGCTAATAATGAATAGGATTTTTGAGGCTGACACCAAGATTCATATTAGAGAGTTAAAAAAAAAAAGAGATAAATAAACATTTTTGATAAGGTAAGGTTTTTAACAATTGCAACCGAAAAATGTAAAGGGCAGGACATTTAACAGTTAAATGAAGAAAAAAAAAGGTTCACCACTATTTGGTACAAACAATATAATGTTGACACTGTTTCAAAGCATATATTGTATTTACATACATCAATTTCTTATAATTTATGGATTGCCATAAAGGCATACCAATATACCTTCGATGAGCTATTGTCGACAGACTTATCAGTCGGGCTCTAGCAGCCATGCACAGAGGAACACTGTTGGGTGTCTGCTCTACGCAAACATGTTCACACAGGTGCAATCAACACCTATAGTAGATAATTAAATTTAAATTATGTGGCTATCCATACATGGAAAGTACAATTCAAAACTTGAAACTAGTTGAAAAATTAGGAAAAGCTATTTATTCATTCTCAAACAGGATATTATGAACTTTCTGTAATCATAATATAATAATTTGCTGTATTGTTGGATGGGAAGTGGGAAAGTACTGTACATGTACTGTTTATCCTCCAGAGTACAGATTGTAAATGAATCTCTAGTTCAGTGTGGTAGTGCTCTCCAGTTAAATGGTTACATGCTGTAAACATGGAGGCAGCTGCCCACACACACTCCTCTGCATGTAAACAGATGGTGAAGGTCAGTATTCTGGCTGCTTTGATCACATGAGAATTTATCATCCATTTGTGCTCTCAATATAACCACAGTTAATGCATCTGTGCCAATAGATCTGGACTAGTCACTGTTATCACTGATGTGTGTCTACTCACAGCCATTCTTCAGCCGATCATTAATTTACTCATCGCTTCATGTGATTCTGTTATCATTTGCTCATTGTTTTGTGATTAGTCAAGTAAGCTGTTCTTTAGGGACAAACAGAATTTCTCTGGTGATGTCAAGTGGGTATGGATGTGACCATGCTGTGGAGTGTGATGTTTTAGCCCTTTGGGTGTTGAGAGCACGCACAAATGGATAGTAATCTAATCTCACCAGGCTAAAATTAGCTCATTCAGGGGACATGGACAACAGATTGCCTATGGCATGATTCAGATGATAGGGGCTGTACAGCTGTTTGCCCTTTAAAAACCCACAGATGGCATTTGAGGCTAGAGTGGAATACAAACAGAGCTCAAGTGGCTCATCTACGGGGTCTATGGTCTTTTAAGAGTCGGAGTCTAATTAAACAAACAATGCCTGTGTGCACTGCTGTAATAATTAATGTAAATAATCATGTCAATTATGATGTTTTTTTAAGCCGGATGGCAGATGATGTAAATAGTAAAGAATAAAAAAATACTCTAACTAGACCTAATTTGGCTTAAACCTACTGTAGAAAATCCTAATAGCATGTTTCAAAACAACACGGAGATGGGAATCCAAGTTTCCATTGTCAAAGTCCAGTTGTTTTTATGTCCTGCCGGCTTCCCTCTAACTTCCCTTCATGCGGCAAAAGGTCACACACATGGTCACACGAATTGTAAAAAAAAACAAAACAAACTTATTCCAGTCCACAATTATGTTTTCTCTCTAATGTATCTGAAAAAGCAAATAAGTAGTATATAAATGTATTTTGTAGGAAGCAGGGTGAGAATGTGAAGCGCATTCTAAGCTGGAGGCCATAGTATAGTCTGCCTTCCTTCTTTACTTACACAATATAGATTAATCCTGAATTCCCCCTTTGAGAAGCAGGTCAAACATACGCTGAGTCATGAATCATGCATTGCCCTGCAGTGAACTCAATGGTTCTTAGCAGTCAGTGTTGTTGAAGGCAGCGTACATATGGCTGTGTAAGTCTGTCTCAGCCCAGCAGCACACTACTAGAGAACAAGCAGGACAACAACTGTTATGTAATGGCTATAAAATTAGCACAAAGAGCTTCCTAATGTCCAGTTCTGTGCTAAGAAAACAGACAGCATGAGTGGCCTTTTCACCGGGGAAACTGACTAACTAGGTTGGGTTAGGTCCTTTTCTGTCCCCTCTTCAGCTCCGAATACCTTTGTTCCTCTTGTGTCAATAATATAATCCTCTACTGCTGGCAGTCCTCCATCCTACCTCCAACCTCTGTCTGGAGAGCCTTTTAAAGAGGTGGTATTATGCTCATTTTCAGATTCAAAATCTTATTTAGGGGTTGTACCAGAACAGGTTTACAGGGTTTAATTTTCAAAATACACCATATTTTTCTCATACTGCACATTACTGCAGCTCCTCTTTTCACCCTGTGTGATGTACGCTCTGCTCTTGGGCTACAGAGTGACGCATCTTACTTGTACAAAATCTTTGTTGGGAGTTGTACATGCACAGTTCCCAGGTAAAGACTACTAGCCAATCAGAGAGCAGAGACGGGCGGGTTGTAAGAAACAAGGTAGTGTGATCCAAATCAAAGCCGCTTCAGACTGCGTCAGTAACGTAGCAGATGGTTTAAGTTACTCATAAGTCCACAACATCATTGTTCCACATCTTACCATAAACCACTACAAAAATCACCATATTTCAACTCAATTCTACATAAAAATTGGCCAAACAATTTGAACATTTGCTCAGTAGCTTTCACATTAGCATTATAGCTATAACTTTAGCTGTGTTAGCCAACATTTACAACAACTCCGTACTTGAACAGTCTGTGAAGTTACTTTACCGTGTTTATTTTAAATATAATTCACAACCAATAAAGCATACTTACAGGTTGTTGTGAATTTCCAGGCCCAAACAGAGTCGGAGTTGCATCGCCTTTTAGGACTAAACGTTGAACTGTTGTCGGTGTTCTGACAATCTATGCTGCCTTACCGAAAAATGCTACCAAAGCGCAAATCGATAGACTCGACTCTACTCGGCCCTGCTCCGTTTTCCATTGCAGACAGTACCCAGAGATAGTGCGTAGCTTGTGTGTGGCGTCGCTATGATGCTATGACGACACCACACACAACTGCCGCGACGTAATGTTCAATGCAACACACACACCAGCGATCCACACAGCTTTCTCTTTTTTAAGTTAAAACATTTCAGCATTCCTCAGAATGTAAAGACAGATAAGCGGTAACCTTCCAGCTGTGTTTTCCTCTGCTATTGTTGCTGCAGCGGTCTGTGTGACGGCGAGAGCAGAGGGCTGTGTGAGCGGGCGGCTGGCCGGCCTCGCCAGTTCCTCCCGCGGGTCACAGCAGGCTTCCCCCGCAGCCACTTGCGGAGCTCCTCAACTCCGAAAATATTCAAGCACATTTTTGTTCTGCCATCACTTCTCGTAAAACTGTCAATATTAGAAATCTACACAGCTGATTTCTCACTTCAAAACTTCTCAGAAGTGGATTTAGTGATGAAATTACATACGAAAACTGTAAAATATAAAACTTTCTGTTGCTGGCCTCTGTCTGGTGCAGCAATGATGATGCAGTGAATAGTGACGATTCTCTCTGACCAATCAGCAGTCTGTCGTGTTTTCACGTTACATTTTAGTATCCCTCAGCTCGCTTGGAACCTCGATGGAGGTGAGGTGATACGGAAAAAAGTACCTAGAAGCAGGTACAACATTTCTACAATGGAAAACTAAAACAAAAGTTGAGCCAAAGGGCCTCCGCTCAGACTAGCTTGGTAACTCAATAAAGGAGAGGGGAAAAGCCAAAAACCATAATACCATCTCTTTAAGACTAAAATAAATCTTTGAACGCAAAAGTATTTTTTTAGGATTCAAGCTCAGCTCTGTACACTTGTTCCCTTCCTGCTTCTGAAAAGCTCAGAAAACACTTGGAACAGGGTTGTGGGCCCAGTTTCTATCCTTTTTGGGTTGTCAAGTCAACCTTCACAGCCTACAGCCTAACACTGAAGCTAAATAAAATATGGCTCCCTTACACTTCCTTGGCACATAAGTGGTTTAAGATTTTTTGCTGTAACAATATTTTGACACAAGACGTTCATGAGCATGTCCAAGTCCATTATTGTGTTCTTTACCTTCGAGAAATATAATGCAAAAGGTGCAAACATAATGATGCAATAGAGGAAGAAAATTTGGTCCTAAAAAGGTAGAGAGGTGATTAAAAGCCAAACAAAGATTTCTATGTCTAAAAAGTCACCTTTTCAACTATAAATGAACACTGACTTTAACAGAGAGAGCATCTCTCTAGTGTGTCAGAGGGAGCTAAAATAACACCCATTAGGACAACATAATGTCAAGTCAGTAGAATGTCAGCACCGATCCTCTGCATTGTACTTCAGCGCTCCTAAATGTCATTTTGGATGAAACTCCTGAAATGGCAGACAGACATAATGCTGTTTTGATAAGCTCTGACATGGTGCATTGACTCAAAAAGTGTATGTGTTACTACAGCATTTAGTTAAACATTGCAAATTGGATATTTGTGTTAAACAATGCAACTGTCAGGTCCACGCTGCTCGTCCACAGATGAATTGCTCAGTTTCATTTTCACTTACAGCCCTCTGTGAATAATTACAAATGCATCATAATTGTCCAGCAGTGCCTCTGAGAGGATGGCTTGGAGGTACATCAAGTGAATGAGTATTAAGCACCCTGACTGAACTCTAATTTGTTGGCTAGACACCATTAATTCTGGGTTAGACAATGCTAAGTCTTTGTGTGTAGCCATAAGAGCAAAGCAGCCCTTTGTTGCTGGGATTGCTCAGAAAAGAGCAACGAGCGAGGGATGAATTGTTCAAGAGTAGTGATGCCAACTCATGTAGCTGCTGGCTGTGCAAAATATTCAGACAAGTTGCCAGATGACCTCGTTTACTCATTTGCATATGAATATATTTGGCCTTTCATTGTATGGAAAGCTCTGTAATCATCAGACCTGTTTGGATTAAACACTGAATTAAATACTACAAATGCATGTTCACCGGCATAAACCAGACTATCAAGTGAATTGGAGGGCCAAACTCAAGGGTCAATTTATCCAAATATCAGAAAACAAATTTTCTCGCTTGCCTGCGGTAATCTGACTAAGACTGTAAGCTAGCAAACAATGGATGAGGGATTTAAAATAGTTTTATGCTTTATGATGAAAGAAACAACAGTTTTGTTAGAAATAAATAATGCGTTTTGGGGGAAACAGTTAGAGAACATCAGAGGAAACCTTTCACAAGAGTTAATTTGTTGGCTACAGTACAGAAGAAGTACTAAAGAATGACTGCACAAAGGCAGCCAATTAACCAGAGAGCTGAGATCACACTTAAACATATTTATCATTAATTAGATGTGATTAGAAACGTCCTCACCACAGCTGTACCTTAGGACCTTCAGGTGCAGTGTGGTTTTACTTACGCTGAGCGATGACCAGGGGTGGGTAGAACAGAAAGTATCCCACAAGCTCGGCGGTCAGCTGGTTGAGGAGGCCGCTGGAGATCGTCCCGTTAAGGATCGCATCCTGGTTCTTCACCACGTACACCAGGGAGACTGACGGAGAGCCCGGCTCCTGGGACACACTCTGGATCTGAGGAGAAGCACAAACACACAAACACATCAATATTTTATTTGAATCAACTAATCAAATAAGTTATGTTCCCCAAAAGTACAATATTAGAACGATTTTTCAATTCTTAATGTATATCAAACACACAAACAGGCAGCAGCGGACACATGCATAATTCAAACAAACATTCATAAAGAAATATCCAATAGCATCATACCAAATGTCTAAGATGCCCATAAACAATGCATAACAGAGCTCCAGACACAGTATGACACTTTGAATGAACAATGTTTTTTTGCATTCTATAATAAGACCTGTGTGGCGCTCTGAAAATAATGTGAGTCATCATAGTAAAGTGGATGATGATCCGAGATACGAGGAATTCCCATCACATTCTTCCATGTGCGTTAATATTTCAGAGGATGAATTATGAATGGACCCTATTTCTGCCTCTGCTTGCTGAGACCTACTTTATTATTATGATGCTGTGTGCATGTATATCCTGCAGTCATGAGAGTACCTTGACAGCCACAGAGAAAGAGATAGAACATGAGAAAGAGATAATGAAGCAAAGAAGAAAAGGAGGGGAAAAAACCTGAAAGGGTTCAAACATAAAGTAGCACTGTAGATGAATGAGCTTTCAATATGTCTCCAGAAATAGATCATTATATGCCACTACAGTCACCCACTCCTTTAAATGTAAACTGCTACCAAACCTGTCATTTGTGACCTTTTATGTATTTTATGTCTTAATTTGCAGTAAAGCCCTTGCACAGTGGAACAGCAATACTGTGGTCACAACGTAAAAAATTGTGTCCAGAATTTTATCTAGAGCTTTATTATTCATATTAGCCTGATTAGCATGCTACATGCAAACATGTACATACTCTGCATTTTGCACTAAATATAGCCTCCACGAACCCCTGTCATACCTCCACAGTGAGCCTGTTGTAGGTCTCCAGCACTTTGTCCTGAGCCTCATCGAAGGCGTTCTCCAGCCTCTGCTCCAACATCTGGACAAAACTGCACGAGTAGATGTTGTCTGTTGGGCCAACGAACCTCAACACTGGGGGGAGAGAGATAGAAAATGATATTTAATCGATATTGAAATGGGAATTTATTTCAGAATTTAAATAATTACAGTGCAAACATAATTGAGGATAAAAGAAAGTCGATTTATTTTCTATTATAAACCCCAAAATGTGCAACAGACAGTCTTTCAATGTCATCATCATTTATCAAAAGGTTGCTCTGTAAACTACACTGCTCAAAAAATTAAGGGAACACTAAAATAACACATCCTAGATCTGAATGAATGAAATAATCTCATCAAATACTCCTTTCTTTACATAGTTGAATGTGCTGACAACAAAATCACACAAAAATTATCAATGGAAATCAAATTTATCAACCCATGGAGGTCTGGATTTGGAGTCGCACTCAAATTCAAAGTGGAAAACCACACTACAGGCCGATCCAACTTTGATGTAATGTCCTTAAAACAAGTCAAAATGAGGCTCAGTAGTGTGTGTGGCCTCCACATGCCTGTATGACCTCCCTACAACACCTGGGCATGCTCCTGATGAGGTGGCGCATGGTCTCCTGAGGGATCTCCTCCCAGACCTGGACTAAAGCATCCGCCAACGATGTCCCAGATGTGCTCAATTAGATTCAGGTCTGGGGAACGGCGGGCCAGTCCATAGCATCAATGTCTTCCTCTTGCAGGAACTGCTGACACACTCCAGCCACATGAGGTCTAGCATTGTCTTGCGTTAGGAGGAACCCAGGGCCAACCGCACCAGCATATGGTCTCACAAGGGGTCTGAGGATCTCATCTTGGTATCTAATGGCAGTCAGGCTACCTCTGGCGAGCACATGGAGGGCTGTGCGGCCCCCCAAAGAAATGCCACCCCACACCATTACTGACCCACCGCCAAACCGGTCATGCTGGAGGATGTTGCAGGCAGCAGAACGTTCTCCACGGCGTCTCCAGACTCTGTCACGTCTGTCACATGTGCTCAGTGTCAACCTGCTTTCATCTGTGAAGAGCACAGGGCGCCAGTGGCAAATTTGCCAATCTTGGTGTTCTCTGGCAAATGCCAGAACGTCCTGCACAGTGTTGGGCTGTAAGCACAACCCCTACCTGTGGACGTCGGGCCCTCATACCACCCTCATGGAGTCTGTTTCTGACCGTTTGAGCAGACACATGCACATTTGTGGCCTGCTGGAGGTCATTTTGCAGGGCTCTGGCAGTGCTCCTCCTGCTCCTCCTTGCACAAAGGCGGAGGTAACGGTCCTGCTGCTGGGTTGTTGCCCTCCTACGGCCTCCTCCACGTCTCCTGATGTACTGGCCTGTCTCCTGGTAGCGCCTCCATGCTCTGGACACTACGCTGACAGACACAGCAAACCTTCTTGCCACAGCTCGCATTGATGTGCCATCCTGGATGAGCTGCACTAGCTGAGCCACTTGTGTGGGTTGTAGACTCCGTCTCATGCTACCACTAGAGTGAAAGCACCGCCAGCATTCAAAAGTGACCAAAACATCAGCCAGGAAGCATAGGAACTGAGAAGGGGTCTGTGGTCACCACCTGCAGAACCACTCCTTTATTGGGGGTGTCTTGCTAATTGCCTATAATTTCCACCTGTTGTCTATTCCATTTGCACAGCATGTGAAATTGATTGTCAGTCAGTGTTGCTTCCTGAGTGGACAGTTTGATTTCACAGGAGTGTGATTGACTTGGAGTTACACTATGTTGTTTAAGTGTTCCCTTTATTTTTTTGAGCAGTGTATGTAAAATCAGACGTTGAGCACCCCCATATCACCAAAATGGCATGATCCTTGTTTCACTGCGAAGCTTCGACTGTGAGATTGACAGTCAAATCAGGCTCCGCCCATCGAAGCATCAAATCTTCGACTATTTGGGGTCAGCCCTAATAAATTCAATACATTTTTTTATTTATTTCAACTTGTTGATACATTTAATTCAGGTAGCTACTTAACCAGGAGTGTGCAACCTCTCTACTCCCATATCTTTGTAATATTTTCAGTAGTTAGCCATAGTATAGTATGAAATCCTTTTGAAATCAAGAAATACCCAAACTGTTACAAATGCATCTACACCACCAACAACAATTATCTGGTGTCAGAATTACTAAGCCACAGGAAGAGCTGGGAGAAGATAATTATTTAGAAACTCTGCCACAATCTTCTTCATCCAGCTGTGTCTGGAATCTGTATTTGGGGCTGTGTTTTTGGTATTAAAAAAAGTAGCGCTCTAAATAGATGTTGTCTGTGTGACCGATAAACCTTTGCAGTGAGACAGAGAAAGAGGATTATCGCCACTATCTAGAATGAGAACAACTAAAAGAGTGGTTGTCTGTCAGCGTCATGCAGCTCCCCACCGGGGAGGAACAGGGTAAACAATATTGAGTCCATCAGCAGATTACGGAGGATGTTATTAATGTTGTCTCAGTCCTTTTACCACAGTCAAACTCCATTCTCTCTCTGCACTCTGTCTTTCTCCAATCTTTTCAAAAAACCTCTAAAAGGGCCGGGATAAGAGAGGTGGACTATTCTGACCTAAATTCCAACGTTGTGGTGCTTATGAGTGCAGGCTACATCTCCAAAAAACAGGCAAAAAGGACTCTATATCCTTCACTCGTCTCATAGTCTGCAACATGTTGCAGGCACAAACAGTGATGACCCAGTTGGTAATCTTATGCAAATTGTGCTGTGGATGGTAAATCGGCAACTACTGTGTATTTATGGTTTATGAACAAGCTGAACAAGCCAGAAATGGATTTTTGTTCTTGCCTCAAGTGCCTACTTCATACACAGCTGCACACTAACATGGGAAGAGTCCTCACTGCAGTGTGCATGACACTACAAGCTATGAAATGTGCAACTTGGCCATGTACCATAGTTCAGTGGGTATTACAGAAAATTTTGAGGACACAGCACATATATTTGCTGTTTCCCATTGTTGATTAAAAGATCACTATGTCAAGGATTTGAAAAATCTCCAGCTATGACGCCACACAGTAGTGCTGTAATATCACAAAAATCCCCTCCTTCAAGATTCCTAAATACAGCAAGCAACACCCTTGCCTTGAAAGCAACACATAATACTGCAGCAAGATTCACGACGACTATCTCTTTTTTCAGCAAACAAAAATGTATAAGAACACTATTCATTTCTTTTTGGTCCACTTGGTAGAACACACCAGTGACATAAAATCACCATATAACTGAAATATGGCAAACATGTCAGTAAGCAGTTACCTATTCAAACACCCAGCAGACACAGAGCAACATAAGAATTAATTTGGAGTTGTGTTTCTGTCTACCCAATGAAAGTGAAAATATCCGTCTGTTTGGCTGGTAAATGCGGCTCTATTTCCACCAGCTAATTGCTAACTTTGACTGCCGCTTGGTGTTTGACAGGGACTGTAAAGACTTGTTTTACAGCTACCAGATGCTGCTGAAAACAAGGTTGATGATAGCAGTGAGCGTGACCTAAAACATTCAAGTTGCAGACCATAAAACCAAAACAATGAGCTGAAAAGCACCAAAACACTGCAGTGTTGGGTGCTTACCACTTTTCAAGCATTTTATAATTTTTGTGCCCTGTTGTATTTCCAAATTGTTTCCAGCTGATTATAATTACTGTCATCACTGTGAATCTCATTTCATTAAAATCTGTATAATGTTATTGCTTGATTTTATGGCCTCCGTCCTAAAATGTTGTAAATCTTTCTTCGATCATGTAAAGCACTTTGTAACTTTGTTTTGATAAGTGCTGTATAAATTTAAGTTTATTATTATTATTATATGACATGAACTGTAGTCATTTGACGCATTGTTATTATTATAAATATATTCATGCCACTTTAGGAAATGGTATAAATGTCTCAAATTTGAATACTGGCCCGACAGGAATTTAAAAAATAAAACTCTTAGTTGAGAAAAGTAATGGGTTTCCAATCTGCACATGTATCTTTTACATAACAATTTGTTAATTGCACTGATTTTCCAACCCCACAAGACTCGATTTAGATGTGTGTGTGTGTGTGTGTGTGCTGAAATGTGTTTTTTAAGAGGCTTAAGAGGCTGACTAAATGAATGGACCAATTTGCTTTTGCTCTGCAATCATGGGAGTTTGTATGGGATTTAGGGTATCAGAGAAGAGTAAAGGAGAGCAGACATGTAATCAGAATTTTCTAATTTTGTCTCTGCTCTACTCTTCCCCTGTGTCTCTCTCCCTGTCCTCTCATTGCATTTTCTTTCTCTCTGTTCTCCCTCTGCAGAAATTTCCCCCCCTCCTCCTCTCTGCATATATCTAACCTCTGCTATTCTTCACCCTTTTACACTCCACCTCCCAAATGAACATCATCAGACCATTTTTGTTACATTGTGCTATGTATAGGTTGACCCCTCGGGTTTCATCACCTGTTCTCAGCTGCAGATGAATGCTTGGAGCAGGCAACCAGGTTTCCACGGGAACCAGAACTGCCTTAACCAATGGGGTGTGCTGCCTGATGTCCGACAGCAGCTTGTCAAAACCATAAACATTCAGTGACTCAACCACCAAGGAGGAAATGTAGACAGTTTTGCCGCTGGTCACGTAGTAACCCAACGTCACATTGTGGGGGCTGCAGTCATCACGTTCCACCTGTGACAGAGAAAGAGAGAGAGAGAGAGTGAGAGAGAGAAAACAGGAAAAATTCTTGTAGCCTTTAAAAACTGCACTTTCATCTGTATTTCAAAAGAAGCTGTGTACATATATCCTTAAACATGGTGATGTTAGTATGTCTGGAGGATTTGTGTTCTTCTTTCAAAGCACACACACCGCAAAGAAGAACCAGACAAACAGTATCAGAGAAATCAGCGCTACCAAGTGAAACAAGTTCAGAAGACGATACTGGAGGTGAGGTATAAAGCATCTTTTTCTAATACATGTTGTATTTGAGCTATGGGTTTAGAATACAAATGCACCAGACTAGGAATATTTAGCATTTTTCTTGTTTAAAAAAAAGCCAAATCTGCCCCAAGCGCATATTTAAGCTTGAGCCTTCAACAGTCATAAATGTGAATAACTGTGTCCTGGAAAAACACATACAGACAACAATCAGTGGTGAGTCAAGGCTCATATTTCTGGAACTAAACACCGCCCACCTTCCTCTACCCTCCACCTTCATCCACACTGAGCAGCTGTGGCTGCTGTTACTATGGCGCTTCCCTCATCCTTCTTTTCCTCTCCTCTTCTCTGTAGGCATTAGCTGGCTGCCCCCAGCTAGTCTTTTGTTAAGAAAAAAAAACATCCCTCTTAGTGAAACTGTATCTCATTACCTCTCCCCCTGCTCTCCTCTCTTCTTCGTACCAACGACAAATTCAACAAAACTCTCCCTGTTTTTCAAACGACACCGACCTGCCAATCTTTATTTAAGCCACTTTCTGTTGCAAGCACTTGCTAAAGCTTTAGCCCCAGTTTTCCAAGCAGCCCTTTAGTTTTTAATTATACTCAGCAACACATTCTTTTATTCCAGCAACCCACCTTTGGGTTTTGCATTTCATTAGACAAAAAGAGAGCTTTCGGATCTTTCATTCAAGTCTTAACTCAAATGGAATGAGTGAGGAATTTTCATCCTATATATTTTGGTTATATAGTTTCAAACACACTTGTACATCTGCCTGGGAGTGATTTGTAAATGTGTATAAACAGTTAATGAATCTGTGTTTATATAAACACACTGTACTTTATGTTTCTTTTTCAGGCTAACAAATAGTAAACAAATATGTTTTATCAGCATTCTAAGTTGAGGGGAATGTACTAATTTGAAGAATAGACTTGCATCAGCAGGTGTTTCGGTCACAACACATTAAGTTCTGTGCAAAATGCACATTCATCATCAACAATTAAAAACAGCATCCATTGTATAAACTTCAGATATCCTTAGAATAGCCTTCACTTATTATTAAGAGCGTGTATTACACATTTCTTAAGTGTTTAAGAATGTGGTGATGGGTGATAAACAAAAGCAAGACATACGAACAAATGCCATAGTGAAGTGGATAGCTACACCCTGCATGCTGATTAGTATTGGGGAAGAAGGTCGGTCTTACGAAATGTTCTTAAAATTGCAACAGACAGGGAGACAAGCGCTCCGCAAGTAAACAGCAGGCGCTCTATGGATAGTAACCATGGCAACGGCTTCTGTCTGCTACACAGCTGCAGCCTTTTTAACTTCAGTTAAAATTACAGGCTACATAACTTTACCGAATAGGCCTTCATCTAGTTTTGCTGGGATGTTCTGCCATGTGAATTCCCTCCTGTTGATGTCCTATTTAGTTAATCAGTAATAGATTCTGGAAACTCACAAACAGCGAGGATCAGTCTCTCTTCCAATGATTTGTGCTGCGTGTCATGTACAAAAAATTCAACTTCGGGGGCGGGCGGGTGTGTGGGTGAGGTGAGCACAATCGCAACATTTTCAGTAGAACGCGCCCGCTTGTCCCTATGCCTGTCAGAATGCCCGCACCTCACTTCTAACACACTCACCTTTCATTAAAAATGAATTACTAGGGCTGTGAATCGCTTCCCATGTAAAAAGGCCTTAACAGGGACACTTGCTACTGAACATAGGCAGTTTCTGCTGCTTCCTGACAACAGATTTATAAATGTTAACCTGTTGCTCAGAAGGTGCCTGTTATGATGTTATGAACGTGCCTCTGGATTCTGATGGTAACTTGTTTTAACAAGCTAGATAAAAGGTAATGCCCTGGCAGTGGCAAATAGCTTTGGTTTTATATTTGATTTGATTTACAAGAAATATTTTATTGCTACTGTGTATACTGCTGGTAAAAAGCACCTTATTTGTTTAAAGTGTTTGCAAACCACATGTTATTGCACTTTTGTGTATATAGCAGTACATTGAAATAAAAAGTGCGCAATACACTACTTTAGAATTCATTATTCAATTTTGCGCAAATCAATGCGGGCAACATTTAAAAAAAAAAAATATTGCAATTAATCGCATGATTTTCAGTGATTAATAGCGATTAATGCAATTACATTTACGTTGCCCAGCAGTAATATTTACGTTACCAGTAATATTCCATCTATCCATTCATCGCCAGCAGTTTATTCTGTGGAAAGGGTAGCCAATTCCAGCTTACATCGGGTGAAAGGCGGGGTAAACCCTGGACAGGTCACCTGTCTATCACAGGGCCAGACACATCGCAGTCACACCCACACTCACACCTAAGGACAATTAGCTGTCACCAATGACCAATAACATGGTATTATAGAATTTTGTTTAATGTGTTGAGGTTTTTCATAAAAATGATAATACACTGAAAAAAGCAACATAAAAAATGGAGACTGCATTACTGATCATGTGACCTACACACTGCCTATTTAGACCACCTGTGAGTGCTTTTGCAATTTCACTGGGTGAACCTGAAGAAGCCACAGGCGAAACGCGTGGTTCACAATAAATACAGTAAGTAAGTAATTTCACTGTGCGGTGGCTTGTTTTAGATTTTTCATGTCTTATTGGTTTACAGCTACACTGTAATGTGTTATACTGTATTATGAACCATCATTTAATTGATTAGATACTATTTAATAATGTTAAACCGGGGTGTTAAAGCTGGTAGGCAATTTATTTCAGATGCATTTTTTTGTCATATTTGTTGAAATTCTCTGACACAAAAATGAAAAATATCAGGTATCACTAACCTGTGGTTACTATAGCTGAATCATTTCATCTGGACCAAATGAAACTATTGGCTGCCCATGCACTTTGCGCATGAACATGTGTATTAAGGGTGTGGCTTTGGAGAGGGGCCTGAAAGGAGGGAGTAGGATTTTTTCGGTTGGATACTTTCAAAATCTCTTTGCAAGAGTCTCTTGCTGGTTTGTCCAACGTGACCTGCCCTACCTTTAAAATAAAGTGTAACCCATTTTGAATTACTCATGCACCCCACAGAAGGTTTTTATTACTTTTCTTTTGCCCATTTGAAAACCAGCACTGTTTCTAATAAAGCCAGCTAGACGTGCCCTTGCCCTCTGCTGTCACTTCTTTCTCCCTGCCAACATTTTCAAGCTGTAAAACTGGCCAATTTTGCAAGCAACTACAGTTAACCATTTTGTTGAATGATGCATCACATTAAATACTGGTACGTGCTAATTTCATGCTGTTTGACAATCCCTGCCACTGCTGAAGCCAATATATTTGCCCATCAACAATGCCTCAAAACACTGCCGACATATCATGGCTTTTAAAGCTCAGGACTATATTATGTGTTGATATTGCTGGTGCTGTCTTTCAGTAGGCTGATCCAGATTGCCAAATAATAGTCTACATTATCTGATAGAAGAGGATGAGTACTGAGGAGTGTGTGTGTGTGTGTGTGTGTGTGTGTGTGTGTGTGTGTGTGTGTGTGTGTGTGTGTGTGTGGCAGGGGGTAGATGAAAGTGGACTAGAGCTTAGAGACACTGAGTCACTCCCAGTGCAGGCTCACAAACAACTGGATAAAAATAGAAAAGGCAGGGAGATGAAGACAGAAGACAGACAGACAGACAGACAGACAGACAGCGAGATGAAGAGAGGCAGGTGGACATACAGAGAGGCGGGCAGGCACGACAGGAAGACCAACAGACAGGTCCCGCCTGACAGGTTGGCAGAAAATCAATCAACTTAAACCTAGGGAGTAATCAGATGGGGGAGATGGAGGAAGGGAGCAATATGAGAAATGTAAATATTGACAGAGGAGGGCAGGAGTGATTATTTCAGGGAGAGAAGAGAGACAGAGAAGATGAAGAAGAAATAGAAATAGACTCCGTTCATAAGGAATATAGGAGAGGTTGGACGAATTTCACATAGAGCAACAGATTAGAAAGATCATTTGACTGCATTGCTATGTCGCAGTGAAAAGGAAAATAATAATTTATTCTGGATTAATTTTCCATTTCCATGTTTGTGTGACAGAGAGTGTGCATGAGTGTGTGTGTGTGTGTGTGTGTGTGTGTGTGTAATAACCTCTCTAAGTAAACACTGTCTGACTACTCAACAGGTTATTTCTATTCCCACGCTGACTGCATTAGTCACGTCTCTCTGATCGTCTCTAGCACCATTCCGATGAGTCCTTGAAAGGTGAATGAGCAGCAGGAAAAAATTATGAATACTGTAGAAAATTGTAATCTGATGACACACTCAACAATAGGACATCTGCACATGTGAAGAGCCAACACTGTGGCGAAATTAAAATGTAAAGATTACATTATCTTATTAGCATCAGATAGACAAGCTCTTTTTCTCAGTGTAATGAAGCAGATAGCCACTTGTGGTCTTCTAATTTACATCAAGAGCGTACAGACCTGTTGGTAGTTGGTAGTGAGTATACTGAATGTAAAATTGGTATATTATAAGCAAAGCAAGCTAAAGCGCTGAAAACCATTTCTGCAAATGTTCTGTACTAGTGTTTTACTTCTGCTGAGACAACTCTAGATTTAGATACAAAATGAACTGCTTATGACTTTTATTTACTAGCCACTGATGTGTTTACTAACCCATTACCTTTACTTACTAGCCACTGACATGTGTTTACTAGCCAATGACCTTTATTTACTAGCCACTGACATGTGTTTATTAGCCCATAAACTTTATTTACTAGCCACTGATGTGTTTACTAGCCCATTACCTTTACTTACTAGCCACTGACATGTGTTTACTAGCCCATTACCTTTACTTACTAGCCACTGACATGTGTTTACTTGCCAATGACCTTTATTTACTAGCCACTGACATGTGTTTAGTAGCCCATGACCTAAATTTACTAGCCACTGACATGTGTTTATTAGCCCATAAACTTTATTTACTAGCCACTGACATGTGTTTACTAGCCAATGACCTTTATTTACTAGCCACTGACAAGTGTTTATTAGCCCACTTTATTAACTAGCCACTGACATGTGTTTCTTAACCCATAAACTTTATTTACTAGCCACTGACATGTGTTTATTAGCCCACTTTATTTACTAGCCACTGACATGTGTTTCTTAACCCATAAACTTTATTTACTAGCCACTGACATGTGTTTCTTAACCCATAAACTTTATTTACTAGCCACTGACATGTGTTTACTTGCCAATGACCTTTATTTACTAGCCACTGACAAGTGTTTATTAGCCCACTTTATTTACTAGCCACTGACATGTGTTTCTTAACCCATAAACTTTATTTACTAGCCACTGACAAGTGTTTATTAGCCCACTTTATTTACTAGCCACTGACATGTGTTTCTTAACCCATAAACTTTATTTACTAGCCACTGACATGTGTTTCTTAACCCATAAACTTTATTTACTAGCCACTGACATGTGTTTACTTGCCAATGACCTTTATTTACTAGCCACTGACAAGTGTTTATTAGCCCACTTTATTTACTAGCCACTGACATGTGTTTCTTAACCCATAAACTTTATTTACTAGCCATTGACATGTGTTTCTTAACCCATAAACTTTATTTACTAGCCACTGACATGTGTTTACTTGCCAATGACCTTTATTTACTAGCCACTGACAAGTGTTTATTAGCCCACTTTATTTACTAGCCACTGATGTGTTTACTAGCCCATTACCTTTACTTACTAGCCACTGACATGTGTTTACTTGCCAATGACCTTTATTTACTAGGCACTGACATGTGTTTACTTTCCAATGACCTTAATTTACTAGGCACTGACAAGTGTTTATTAGCCCATAAACTTTATTTGCTAGCCACTGACCTTTATTTACTAGCCACTGACAAGTGTTTATTAGCCCATAAACTTTATTTACTAGCCACTGACCTTTATTTACTAGCCACTGACAAGTGTTTATTAGCCCATAAACTTTATTTACTAGCCACTGACAAGTGTTTATTAGCCCATAAACTTTATTTACTAGCCACTGACCTTTATTTACTAGACACTGACATGTGTTTACTTGCCAATGAACTTTATTTACTAGCCAATGATCTTTATTTACTAGCCACTGACATGTGTTTACTTGCCAATGACCTTTATTAACTGGGTACTGACATGTGTTTACTAGCCAATGAACTTTATTTACTAGCCAATGACATTTATTTACAAGCCACTGACATGTGTTTACTAGCCAATGAACTTTATTTACTAGCCAATGACCTTTATTTACTGCGTACTGACATGTGTTTACTAGCCAATGAACTTTATTTATTAGCCTATGACCTTTATTTACTAACCAATGACCTTTATTTACTAGCCACTGACCTTTATTTATTAGCCAGTGACCTTTATTTACTAGCTACTGAAATGTGTTCACTAGCCGTTGGACGTTATTTACTAGCCGCTGACATACGTTTACTAGACCATTACCTTTATTTACTAGCCACTGATTTGTGTTTTATCAGCCACTGATCTATGTTTACTAGCCCCTGGCGTGTAGTTACTTCTCAACCATTCTTATGAATTCCTAACATGTTCACTAGTCACTGACCTGTGGTTACTGGCTGTTGACGTGTAGTTACAAGCCGGTGAGTTGTGCTATTAGCCACTAACCTGTGGTTACTATAGCTGAATCTGTAAGAAACACTGACCTGTGCATAGGCTGTGGAGTCGTTCAGGGCTCTCTGCAGGGCGTGGCTCAGTCCTTTAGAGAGGTTCTGTTTCAGGATCAGGTCCAGGCGGTTCCTACGCAGCTCAATGGACAGAACTGTAAAGGAAATAATTATAAAAAGTCTGACTCAATGACTGTCCACTATGTATTTGAATTTAGCTTGCTAACATTCTCACTTTGACCATACCGATTGCCTCAAATAATAATACAATGCAATACAATATGATTTAATTAGGATAGATAAGGACCTATGGACACAGGATTTTAGACTTTGGCAAGGGTGTCACTTTATATTGAAAAGTGGTGGGGACATAGGGGCTCAGATTAGGGGTGTGAAGAGAGACTTAGCTCGCGAGACATCTCCTTATGTAATATTAGGTTCACGAGAACGAGACTAAAAAGATCCTTAAACAGTGTTTTAAAGATATCCTCCATGCTGAGATACATGAGCTGGTGGTCTGGGGGGACGTCCCCCAGGAAATTTTGATCATTAAACACTTCATTTCCTTCTGGTGAAAGTCTCTGCACCAATTTATGGTGGAAATGTTTTTATTTATGTAAAGGGAAAGGTAGCACATGACATTTCAAAATATATAAATATAATTGCAGGCATTCTGTATAGCTTCCAGATCTGTTTCTCCAGTAAATCAACTCTTCTCATGTAATATCATCCCTGCTGAGGCAACACAAAAATTATTTAGTCTTCCCTCTTTTTTTGTAGTTGTCACAGGGAGAGCATGGAAAACTTGGCCAAATAGAAACTGTGTCAAGAAGTATTTAAAGTTACTAATTGCTGCATGCACGTGTTTGGGTCATTTCATAATCAGTAGCTTGTTTTTTTTAGTTTAAGGTACTTTTTTGGACAATGCACATTTGTTTCTTCTATATTTTAATTGCATTGCATGTTTTCTTAATGTGCAAATAAACCTTTCTAACTGGCACATGTCCCCATCGTGCCCAGTGTAAATGACACCTATGGTCTTTGGTTAAATGTCTCCTCACTTATCACTTTGCCTACCCCAGTAAAGACCTTAGTAATATATTATCACATCTCTGGTAAATGTAATCAAAGGCTACAGTCTCTCACTTCCTATTAATGATAGAGTGTACACTCAAGGAGAATGTGCCCTTGCTTTTGTGCAAGTTTTAATTAATTTGTGTGCATGTAATTACTTCTTGTACAAATAATAGGTACACTGTGCCTGGGCTTCTGAAATGGCATTTTACGTGTATTCATCATTACTTGTAATAATGTTTCCAGAAGAATGGTTAATGTCTGCCTTTACATAATATTGAGTATGTTGCAGTACCTGAAGTAACAGCAAATTGTTGTTATGGAGAAAGCCCTGATCTTTTAGCCATTCATCCTACTCCTTTTACTCTCTGTTCTTTATCTCCCTCCCATGTCTAAAATGATTAAGATTACTCCAGGTTAATCCTAATGATTAGTCTCGTACCTGTTCTGACCCAGTTCTTCTCGGTCACATTGCATGGTAGAGGACTTTCCTCTGCACTGGTACTGGACGGAGGCTCTGTGGTCGTGGTGGGAGGCGGTGTGGTTTGGACCGGGATGAACACAGTGGTAGCAGGTACCTTTGTTGTTGTGGTTGTAGTGGTAGTAGTAGTGGTGGTGGCAGTAGTAGTAGTTGCAGGTGTAGTAGTGGTTGGAGGAGTAGTGGTGGTGGTTGGGGGGCCTGTAGTAGTGGTGGTAGTAGTGGCAGGTGTGGTTGTAGTGCTGGTTGAAGGCTGAGTTGTAGCCGCTGTTGTCATTTTGAGGCTTGTGATTGGCTGAGTGGTTGTTGCAGTAGTGGTATTGCGTGGTACTGTTACAGCTCTCCCAGTGGTCACCGTCTGTGTCATCATATCAACAGAGGTCACAGTAAGAGTGGTCGTTGAGGGCGTCATCGTGGTTACTGTCGTCAGCTGAAGGCTGTCATTGGTCACAGTGTCCTGGCTTGTGCTGTTAGAAACGGTAGTGGATCCCAGTGGTGTTTGTGTTCTAGCCGTGGTGGATAACGGTAAAGCCGAGGTGGTGGTGGTGGGTGATAGAGATGTGTTTATGGTGGTGGTTGATGTGGTTGCGTGCCGTGAGGTGTTTGTGGTGCGCACAGGTACGGTAGTGTTCCATTGGTGGGTGGAGAAAGGGCTGGTGACGTTGGCAGGAAGTGTGACGTCGTGGTCGCCCACTGTGGACAGTAGCGACTCGGGGACAGTGGGGAGATCCCAGGCTGGCAGGCTGCTCACTGACTCTTCTGCAGGGAGGAAAACAATTGGAAGTCAACGTGAAAATAGATCTAATGATATTCTCATGTTTTTTATTTGTCAACTAATCCCCTGAAAAGACCAAAACCAACAATGAATTGATCCTATTAACAAGTACTGTTTGTGAAGCCTGATATAGAATATTTTTCTGTGTCTACTGTCCAAAGCTACTAAAAAGACATCAATGAGCTACACTGTTGGGGAGACATGTTCCTTTATCACCATGAACACACACACTAGTTTATTTTGAGTAAATCCCACAAACACCATCCTTCTGCCACAGATACACACAAGAGTAAATGTGTATTAACCAACAGCTAAAAAGAGATTTTGGTCTAATTGTTTTGGTCTTTTTATGGCATTTGTTAACAATAAGAGAGTTTTAGAATATTGCCAGCCATATCCTTCAATATATATGACATGAGACTATATGATAGAGCCATATGCTCAGAAAAGGATCTAGCAATGAGGTGGAAAAATAGCAATGTTGTATTGTCTGAACTTAATTTAACCCTGCACCCTGTTCCCATCTAGACCTGGCTATGACATGGATCCCTAAAGTTTGGATTGGATTTGGATTTTTTAAAAAGTGTCAGTGCAGTCAAGATGCAAAGATCGCATCGCCTAGTTATTCTCTACCTTGACACAGATGCATTTTATCTCTTAACAACAAAATGTAAAGCAGTGCATCTTAAATACACTTAAAGCAATGATGAAAAGGGAGCCAAACATAAAGAAAGTCATGCAAATGAAACAGTTGGTAGGTTAATTGAATAGAGGGTTTCTCGTGAATGAGTAACAAGAACGATGAGGAGGTTATTGTCAATTTAAAATACATGAAGGGATGAAGTGAGCGGTAGTTTCAGTTTTGCATATGAGACAGAAATCTAATTTCAATTTGTAAACCAGAGAAGTATTGTAATGTCGGGGGTTCATATAATCCATCTAAATCCTCTCTAGACAACATACTGACATGAGACACTGTCGATGAGACGTTTAAAGGAGGCTGGAGTGAACAAGAGGGATGCAATCAATTCTGTCAGAGTAAGAGAGATCCAGTTCTCTCTTCTCCTCCCCTCACATCAGCACACGAGGACGTATTGTATTGCGAGTGTATTGATCTGATAGGAAATACTGGGCTATGGGACTTTAGCTTCTGTTCATTCTTTTTCAGCTGGAAGCTGAAATATATGTGGAGGAATTACCTTGTAGATGATGTCACTGTTATTGGGATGATGGCGTTGCAGGAAGTGGGGAGACATGAAGAAAGTGGAATGGGACAGGACATGGTGTTGAGGATGCAGAAGAAGACAAAGACAATGATGAGGATGAGGATGAGGATGAGGATGATGATGATGATGATGATGCAATATGATAAAGGTGGTGACAAAATGATGATGCGGGCGATGAGATGATGATCATGTTTGTTTAGGCTATGATGATAGCTGAAAATTACATTGTGATGATAATGGTTAAGACGAAAAAGACGTCAAATGTGTTGGCTAAAATTAAGACAGACTTCACTACTGTAGCTAGCTAGCTAAATAACTCAGTAACAACTGTGAGTTGGTTGAGAACTTTATGTCTACCTGCCAGATGACTTTTAAATCTTTCTTGCTGACTTGTTTTAAATGAGAACCCTGTAAAATGTCTAAATACGTATGTGATAGCTGCACATGATATTGTGCTAAAAGCCTGAGGCTAAAGCTGCATGAAACAGGTAAAAAGTCAACATCCTAACATATGTCACATCACACCAATCCTTGCTGCCTTGCACTGGTTACCTGATTTTGCTGCACGTTTTTCAAGCTCTGAACGGTTAGACTTTGTTACTTGGTTTTGAATAGTGCCATACAAAAAAATCTAATTAAAATATTATTGTAATTGGCAGAGAATGATCGGTTCTCTGGTTTGAGAATGACTGACCAATCGCTGTTTGGGGGAGGTGTTAAGTCAAAGATTAATTACACTGTGAAAATGTTAAAATGACATTAATTGTCATTATGGCAATGTCATTAAACAACCCTGCGCCATACCCAAACTGGAGCTGCTGTTGCTGTTGGAAGAGTTGCTGTTGACAACAACCAGAGAGACATTGTGTGGTCCTGCTGTCTGACTGTCTCTGTTATTGGCTGGAGAGGAGGACGAGGAAGAGGAGGAGGAAGGCAAAGAGGATGCTTTTGTTGTAGACGAGGAGGAGGAGGAGGAAGGCAAAGAGGATGCTTTTGTTGTAGAGGAGGAGGAGGCCTTGGATGACGATGAAGAGGAGATTTTGGTCCAAGCAGCTTTAGACAGGAGTCCTAAAGGTTTTCCTAATGCTGGTGCCTGCAGCTCTGCCATCTCTGCCAGCATGGTGGGGACTGATGAGAAGCCTGTCTGCTCTCTTTGGCCCTCTCCACGCGTCTGCAGCCTCTGCTGCCCCAGCCAGGCAGTAGGGTCCCTGGGCATGCTTGGCAGGTCACCCGCCTCCGCATCCACCGGCCTCCATTCAGCACCGACTTCAGCCCAGGCGCCGGTTCCCGTCATAATCCCAGCCTCTGCAAAGACTTTGCCACCCGCCAGAGCACGTGCTCCTGCTTCTGTTTCAATCCAAACCGCTGTTCTGGCCTCAGCAAACACTTTACCCTTAGGCAAAGCTCCGGGTCCAGCTCCAGGACCGGCGTCAGTGCCATCCATTGCATCTTTGTCCTTAGCCCCAGCTCTGTCTCCAGTCCCGGGGGTGGCTGAAAGGTTGGAGGGTGAAGCGGGGTCGAGAGGCAAGACAGCCTGTCTCATTGACTCATAGTGACCTCCCTCAGCTGTAGGAAACAATAGGGAGATGGAGGGAGGGGTAGATGAAAGAAAAAGCAGAAACAGTTTTTAATGAGTTCTGGGTAGCAGAAACATTGTGATTGTCTTTGACTCCTCTGTCCTACAGTTTCAGTTCTTTGTTCAACTCATCTATCATGTGCCCTTACACGTACACACAAACATACACACACAGACACACACACACACACACACACACACACACACGCACGCACACATACACACACACAGCTGAAGTCCTCATAATGCCGCCACAACTGTCCCGCTGCCAGGCGATTTAAAACTGCTCTGCCTGCACTCACACACACTCATCGTGAGAGCATACACACTTCTCCTCTACTCTCTGGCAAATGCACACATACACATTATTTTTCTTTCTCTCCTCTGTCTCGCACACACATATCCAAAGGGATTTAGACCCTCTAAAACTGAGATTGTGGAAAAATAGTAATAATGTCTAAAGTAGGTCACTTATGTTTTTAGAGGATAAAGCATAGGGAATTAATTTAGATGTTCCAGAGTGCATAAATTAGGACACACACACACACACACACACACACCCTAATCAGCTGTGATTTCACAGATACTAATCTGATCTGTTAGGTTAGCCATGCGAGCCTATGAATTTATTATTCCTAGAACATACAAACCACTCAGGCTCAGGCTGAGCTCATAGCTCAGACCAATACTGATGAGACTGAAATATATTTTCTAAGCAAAGTTTGGTGTGAGTTAATTTATTATAATTAACGACAGTATTATGCAGTCATTTGTGTTTTACTTTTTTTTTTATTCGACACCAAATGATTCAGATACATGAAAATGGAACACCAAAGATAGCATCCAGTCTAAGCATTTAGCCTTTGTCTCCATGCAGTGAACTGTCTTCATCTTCTCTGTTGCCTCAACAAAGCCTGAAGGTTTGGCAGACTGAGGCGATTATCCTGCCTAATACATTCAATCTCAAAGGCACCTTGCTTTAGTGGAATTGAAAGATGAGAAAAAACAAGGCTGACCGTCTGACTGGATCGCTGGCTGCCTCCACTGGGTGACACAGTTTATTGCATCTGCTCATTTGTTCTGAAGTAGAAAGGTTTTGCTTTGGCTTCACTCCAGGTTGTCGTTCAGTTTCTTCTGTTCTCAACGTAAAATATCATAAGAGGGAAGCGAGTGCCAGGCAGAGTAGTAGAGTTATTTAAGCGCACACTCATTTCAGCATGCAAATGTGTTAAATGTGCATGTGTGTCGCACACTTCCCACACTCCCCATGTCTCTGTGGAGGACTGGTTAATTAAAAGACAGTGATACTGAGCAAGAGAGGCTTTACAGAACCAGCTCTGTGCTTAGCTGCTGTATATCCTCTGGGCACCTGCTATAAAGCATTTCAACCACCCTGCTATTAACCACCACCACTGAGCAATCTGTTCATTGTTATAGGATGTCATTTCATAAATGTCATTAAAAGAGGAGATTAATCCAGTGACAATCTATATGTCAACTTCTTCATGGTCTATGTTGTCTGTTAGTGACAACATCCAGAGCTCCATTAGTCAGTTTAAAAGAGGAGAAAACGACAAAGCCTGAAACGGCAGGGACAATTACTTTGACAACACAGGGTGAGTACTGTCACAACTTCTTGTTAAACTTACTTAAAGGCCATATTTCTTTTTGCAGCAGTTCCTCTCGTCTAGATCCACTTCAGCTTGTCAGCATCATAGGTGTCATTTACACTGGGGACGCTGGGGACATGTCCCCACCACTTTTCAACACAAAGTGATGCCCTTGGTCAGCATGTACTGTTTCTTTGCATTGTTGGTAGTGTGAAAGGGAATAAATGCTGATGCAACTACTGTGCATATCAATTAACTAACAATACCAAGCTTTGAGAAAAGGGACATGTGTGTGGATACCTATTAGGAATCATTTATTTTGACTGGAGTAATGGAAGGATGAATGGATAGATGGAGGAATGAATGAATGGATCGGTGGATGGTTTAATGGATGGAAGGACTGTACCATTTTGAGTGTTTTCTCCTCCAACAGCTAGCCACCTGCTCTGGCTGAGAGCAACATATGTGACTCTACCATCAGACCTCTGACAAAACGCTAGGAAAGAAGAACCTCCACTGAGAACAAATATGGACAGGATGGATGGATGGATGGATGGATGGATGGGTGGTTGGTTGGTAGAACAGAAAGTGTGGATTAAAGATGGATAAATGTGGCTCAGAGCAGAATTGCTTAATCTATTTGGACAAAACAAACAGGACATTTTTGCCTATTTCCGTGTGAGAACATTCATCCAATAGCAGATTATGAGAATCGTCACATGGATATGGTTCACAAAGCACTACTGGCCATTTACAAGACTTTAGACAAACACAGTCATGTTGTGTATTGACCATAGTGCCTCGCCAGCTGGCATTCTGTCCACTGATGCCCTGCTGAATCTCTGGAGATGCCAGCACAACCCTGTAAAGCCTTGCCAGGTCACTACAAGCTTACTCCCCATTCAGATTAGCTGATCGCAGGTGCCTGTGATTATATAGTGGTAAATGTCTATGGTCTGTGGTCTGTGGTCTATGGCCATGGCATTGCCCTCCTGTCTAGTGTACTTGGAGCTGTGGGCCAAGTAGAGTCAGGGTGGCAGAGATCCATGCTGCCACCCTGACTGTGAGCAGGACAGGTGGTTAGGAAGTGTGAGAAAGGTACTGAGCCAACTGGTTCTCAGCTCTGAAGCTCAGAGGGAAAAGTGAGGAGGGAGAGCATGATTAGCTGAACCTGCCAACAAGCCAACTGTTGGCAAGTTTTCATTACAGTTATTATTAAACAGGCCAGATGAAAAATAATATGTCTTAATCTCCGTCTTAGAGCTGTGCTGGGCACGATTCTCTACAAAACTACACCAGAGTTTCTTGTCTAATTTATTAGATTTGGCTGCAGTACAGAGTAGTGTCACATGATTCACAATAATGAAGACACTGTAGAATCACCTCATTAGTTCAAGCAAAATGGTGTTGTTGGTAATGGTGGCAGAAAACCTTCCAGCCTCATGTGAAAAAAAACAAAATAACACAATGTGCTGAAAGCTGCACACTAACAATGCCTGAACCTCCTGCAAAATATTTTTCACAATCTCCATTCATTTATGTTACAGAGAAGAAAGTGTGTACAGATAGATGGCATCATATTATTAGTGAAAGTTTGTTAAACTTTCAGGAATTCAGTTAACAGCAATACCCAAATAGCACTTTGGGCTGCAAAAGTTGCTACGCATAGCTTCATGTCTTATCTAAAAGCTACACAAGGAAACTTTGTGAGACGGCAGCCTCAAAGAAGAAGCTGATTGATTTGAAATTCCAGTTTCAATGTCTGTCATGTGAGTAGCTGTGGTAAACTGCACAAGGCACACTCTTCTCTACTAACCTGTCCAGAGGGGCATACTCCTCTGAGGATAATTTCACGTTTCTCTCACAGTAAAATGTGCCCCTTTCTGTGTGTGACTACACTCAACAAAAAATGTGTCTATTTGAAAGTGATTTAGCTCCACAAGTACATGCAAATATTGGAAAGTTAACTGCTCAAAGCACAGCTGATGCCGTACTGCCTCACAGAAAGATAGCCTGACATACCATTAGCATACACAATTGTTATGGCTGCCAACTGCATACTATGTTTTTCATATACTTTATTGATACCTGAGGGGAAATTTGTTCTCTGCATTTAACCCAGCAGTTAGGGCTTCAGGAACCTTGCTAAAGGGCACCTACGGCAGTGGTCCGTGCTGGACTTGAAACAGCAATCTTCAGGTAGCGCATCCAGCTGACAGAGCAACATGGTCATCCCACTGAGTCATGTTCCAAACAAGTCGAGGCCAGTATTCCTTCCTTGGTTAACCAACTCCAAAACATTTGGAGTAAGCTAAAGTACTTATTTTTGTTTAGCTTATTAACTCAACTTTTATCACTAGCCATAATTACAGTAGTCTCTCTTTCAAGCGGGGCAGTTATGATACAGATGTCTTAGCTTTTGTACTGGAAATGGCTACCTATATGGGTTACTATGGGAGGCTTATGAGAGCGGTTCAGGCTGAACCATACAGTAAATATGAAAAACCAAAACAATTAACTAAAATAGAGGCTAAAATTTGTGAGTAAGCCCAGCTCTACAAATACTATGTGCAGCTATTTGACCTATTGAATATTAAGAAAACTATTGTTTGATCAAGAAGACAAAGCAGGCAGATGTAATGTTTGAAAGGCTAGGCAAATAAAGGTCATAGTTTCATACCATGTGTGTATGGAGTCATTCTTTTTTCATTGCCAATGCATTTAAATAACTGACTTTTTTAACCCTTAAAACTTAAAGCCTTTGTGATTAGAGTTGGAGTGCTGGTAGCAAAGCTCTGATATGGTCAATGTAGTACGAGACTCAGTGGGAGTAAGAATGGTCCCAAGCCAGTAGGTCTTGTCCAACTGAGTGGCCATCCAACAGGATGGACATGTAACCATTTCCTGGAACTATTCAGGGCATCCATCTGTCTGTGTGGAGGCGAGAAAAGAAAACGGTTTGGATGGATTGTCAAACGGATGGTTGGTCAGGGAAACAGATCAATGGATGATAATGCAAGGAGAATCAGTAATCTAAGTCTTGTCTATACTAAATAAATAGGCCGAGGTGTTTTTCAAGTTCATTAGTGTAGTCTTTAGTGGGTTATGAGTTTCCATATTTGCTTTCAGATCAGTATGAACGGGACTGTTGCTTTGACAGGCTCTGACAGCACCAAAGTACCATCTATTTGTGTGAGGAAGGGCACAAAGTATCAGTCAGGATCGATGGATAGATGGAAGACGTGACAACATAAGGCAAGTCGTGTCCAAGTGTGACATCATCATAATTTATCTCCATATGTAACACAAGCATTGTAGCAGCAATCTGAATGTTGTTATTCTCTGGAGGGGAAATAGTGAGTAGAGGTAAGGGAAAATGT